ATAATATGGGGCCTTTTTTTTTCCCCCATCCCCTTTGTATCTGGTACAAATATGACGTCCACTCAACGTTGCAGTCAAGGAATATCTGCTTCTGTTTCGGGGGAGAGGTCATGTGTTAACTGCCTCTTTCAAGTCACATTTAAATAGCTACACTGCTGGGAGGGGAGCAGTTCCATGGCGCGCATCCTTCCTGTATCTGTCCTTCCACACCGGTATAGGATGCCGTGGGACAAAAAAAAAAAAAAAGGGCGACTCCTCATATGACGCGGTACCAATGGCTCTACACCCTACTCAGTAGAACCTTCTTAACTCTATTATCATCGGGGGGAAGTGCATCCAGCAGACCCTCGTGAATGTATTTCTTCGGGATTTTTTCTAGCGAACCAGTTGACACGTAGGAGACCACTCTGCAGAGAAGGGCCGCGGCCTCGTCCCTGTCCCCCGTGCCGTACTTGGCATTTTGCAAAATGAGCGACAGGCTGACGAGGACGCAGGTGAGCGTGCTTTCATTGATTGAGTGCAGCAGGAGGAATCGCCTGAACGCGTCGCGATTAGCACTACTGTCTGGGCTGTCACTATGGTGAAGGTCGTCACGGTCGACTCGGTTATCATGGTCGACTTGGTTATCAAGGTCGACTTGGTCATCACGGTCGCCACAGCTGTTCTCACCGCTTCTCTTCTCAGCGCTGCTGCTCGCAATGTGCGCACGTACATCGCGCAGAAACCTATCGATGCGGCGAATGATCACCAGCAGAAGCGTCACGAGCGGATCGCCTACCTTGATACTGATCTTCTTCATCACATGCTGCATTGTAAACACACATGACCTCAAGGGAACCACCTCATTCTCAATAAAGAAGCAAATGAGGTTGACGTAGCTCCCAAGTAAGTTGTTCTTTTCCTGTAACAAAGGAGTAATAGCTATGGAGAGTCTATTAAAATGGTGTGTATTGAATTTGAGCTTCTTCATCTCCAGCAAACGCAAGATCTGTTTGTACGAATGGAAAACATAATTGTCTCTTGTTCGGTGATAAAAGTTTGACATGGAAAGTAGGAGGGACAAAAGATGGTCCAATTGCAGTGGGTGGTCCTGCTCCTGAGTGATGATTTTTTTTACACATTCGTAGGCGTCCTTCATTTTTCGGTGGTTCTGGCTTGTATTGAGGTAGCTAATGTTCAGAAGGATGTCGCACAGGTGCGTGAGGTTGATTCGCCGGGGGGAGGGGCCCTCTGTAGGAGGACAGTCCTTTGGGGAGAAGTCCTTTTGAGAGCCGTCCTCTGTGGGGCAGTTATCTGACGGGAGATGGACCCCTCCCCGATTGTCCCTGCTCACATGCACACCGGACGAAGAGATGTACACATAATCTGTGTTCATGTTAATATTGATACGATGATCCGCTTCGGATGTGAGTGGCAAATGAGTAGTACCTTTCGGGATGACGCCACTTGGGGAGACCCCATCGTGCTGTCGAGCCCCCCTATCCAGGTAATTCAACACATACTGCACAGCCATGGAAAATAGGAGATTCATATTGTTCCTCAAGCTACTCAGATGAGAATACTGCCTCATGTTTTCTACGAAACTGTAGAGGCCGTAGGTGACTCGACTTAATTGAGGGGGGGTCATGTGATACACTTTGGTGTTAATAAAGCTCAACAAGACATTACTACCTTCTTCTTCTTTTTCGTCCTTTTCTTCCTTTTCGTCTTTTTCTCCTTTTTCTTCTTTTCCCCCCAAGTGGGGTCTCTCCTCCGATAGAGCTCCCCCCGTTTGAAGTGTAACGGGATAATCCATGGGGGGGTCCTCACCATGGGGGGGGACCCTAAACCCTGAAATGCTCCTACTACTAACCGTTTCGTCCGAGGATACAGTTCGTTTCCCCTCACCGACGTCACCCCTCTGTGCCCCCTTCTTAAATCTCAAACTGTGGCACTTCCTCCAAAAACGCACCACGTATTTTGTGTCCAAGCTGAATGTATGCTGAAGGAACGCATCGCACATGTGGAGAAAAATGGAGTGGTTTCTCAAATCTAGCCATTTTAAGATGCTCACGGATCCGAGGAGGGACTCCCGGTTGAGCTCGTTCAGGTGATTCAGGAAGATCAGTTCGCATGTCTTCCTCAGCTTGCTCTCCTCGGGAGGGGAAGCAGCCATAGGAGGAGAAGAAGCACTAGGAGGGGAAGAAGCATTAGAGGGGGCAGCACCAATGGGAGAGGTAACCGAACCGCCGGGATGGGTTTCCCTGGCGAGGCTAATATACACGGGTAGGTACGCAAAGAAGTCCTTCGCATCGCAGGCCACGATTCTTCCCCTGACATGCTCGCACATCTTAACATGCAGTGCATCGTCATAAGTAAGCTTCCTCAGAGAAAATTCATTCTTCATTTTTATTAAGCAGGAGCAGATCTCGTTTATCTGTCTGGGATGGAAAGAGCCCAGAGGCTTCGCAAGGATAACTCTCCCTAGCAGTCGGATACTTTCCAGAGGAAACTCCTGTGTCGTGTAGCAGGCACATTTCAGCAAGTCAATCACTTCGTCTGTATTCAATTTGTCCATATGGCGACACACATGTTTATATAGGTCGATGATTCTCTTGCCCTTGACCAAGTGGTGCGAAAAGGATGCCTTGTTCTGCTGAAGGATATTTCTTAACACTTTAACGACATCCCTAACTGGGATGGAGTCATACACACTGCTGAGATGGAGCAGTATGCACGCGTACATGTTTTTGTTTTCGCAAAAATTGTACGTTGATGTTAGCTTAACCAAGTCGCTGCCCCCAAGGAGGAAGATATTGAAATAGTGGAAGTCATTCATTTTTGTGTGCTCGCGTCGTTTGAAGCTGCTAGCCGGAGGAGAACCATCTCCAGGTTGGAAGCTGCTAGCAGGAGAGGAGCCATCTCCAGGTTGGAAGCTGCTAGCAGGAGAGGAGCCATCTCCACGTTGGAAACCGCTAACCGGAGGGCCGCTCTCCCCCCCCAGCTGCGCGAACCTCCTCTTGACACCGCCATTCCGGCGCGCCCAAACCCCCTTCGCCTTGACCAAAGGGACAAGCGGTTTTCTGCTCAGCACTGCCATTAAGGTGACGCGGCAGGGGAGAGACTCGTCTAGCCTACGCTATGGCCTTCGTTGAGCCGGGGTCCTCGGCAAACGGTGGCAGGCAACACATGGAACCCCGGGAGCTAGGCGCGTCCCCGATCAGGCGGGAAAATGAAATCCGTTTTGTCGCCAAGGGGTATACATATGAAATATACATACATATATATGTATATTTTTTTTTTTTTTTTTTTCGCAGCGCAAAACGGAGGAGTACGAAGAAGGGGCCATCAACACCTACCTACGTACCGCGCAGAATTCACCTTCCCGGAGAACTGGCTCCCATTTTTACTATGTACATACGGCTCGTTCGAATTAGGCTTCAGATGGATGCATTTTTTTTCTTTATTTTTTCTGTGTGAAATGTGCCCCGCCTTAGTCGCGAAATTCTCACAGGTGAATGCACATATGTGTACATATAACAGTCGCGCCTTTTCCACTGGATCGAATCTCCCACGCAGACATGAAAGGAAAAAAAAAAAGTCTCCGCCAGACGGGAATATACTTCCTATGAGCAACATCTCCGTGCTGCCAAAAATCGCAGCGAGCAATTTACTGGGCCTCTACCGTTGCACTGCTTTAAAAGAGTTCAGTTCTTTAGTCCTTCCCAAACGTAACGCCACAGCGCGAAGCATACATGTAGAAAGAATCCTAAACATATATATTTACAATTCGTGTCCTTTATACACGCGTAACAAGTCCCCCCATGCGATTATGCCCCCTTAGCATGCGGGAGTTACCTTTTCCCATTTTTTTGAAATCTCTTCCCCATTGCGGCAAATCAAACATGCAGAACGTTCCTGCGCAGTTTATTTTTGCTCCCTAACATGGTAGAGAGGCAGGGTACTTCAAAAAAAGAAAAAAAAAACACACATATTCACTGTGTAGAGAACTCTGTGATGAAGTTTTTTACCTGCCTTTCCGTAGCTGCCTCCGTTCTGCTATCTTATGCACACGGAGCAGAGTAGTCCTTTTTTTTTTCTATATCTCTTTCTAACCGCGTAACAAGGGGAAACGCATTTTTACTATTGCAGGGTCGCCCCCCTAGAGTAGTACACGCATTTGCCACTTAGGAATATACACCTAGAGGGGGGAAAAGAAACAGAACCTATGCCTCTGTCACACTAGGGACTCTGCAGCGCGTTACTACCTAAATATCTCTTTTTTTTGTTAGTCGAAGGGGCGCTCCCCAACGTCGCAATGATTAGCGCCACTCTGTTTAACCGCCCATTTTTGCGTCGTTCTGTTTAACCACCCATTTTTGCGTCGTTCTGTTTAACCGCCCATTTTTGTGTCGCTCTTTTTTTAACTCCGCGCCTTTAACCCCTGCTGTTTCGCCCCTTTACACTCGCAAAATTTGTCCCTTTTTTTTTTCGCTCCACCTTTTTTCCATTAGGCTCTCCTCGCGCATCTAGGAACACCACCTGGAGGTGTACATCTCTCCCCAGGGCCACATGCCTGACCCCCCTAATGGGTACTCGGCACAAGGGCATGAAAAAAAAAAAAAAAGGAAAAAAATAAAAAAAAAAATTACTACTTTGTCATTATCTCTACTGTACTATATGCACCATACGAACCATATGAGTGGGTGCACTTGGGAGAGAAAACGCCCCCTCGCTGTTAGCGGGATAGAAGAACAGCGACGTGGAGCGCAGCGCTTAGGGTGCCGTTTAACCTACTGTTTTTAGCGTACTGTTTTGAGGCATCCTTTAGAAAGGTCACTAGAGAGGCCTTTACGAACTGTTTTTTAGTTCATCTTTCCCTTTCTGCGTGCCATTCTGTAGGTACTCCTAGTACTACCCTCATTTGGGTTCATTTGATATGCCACTTGGTCTCCATTTTTGCCATCTGCGAAAAAAAAAAAGATGAGGGTCACTTTTCGGCCCCTCCTTTTCTTCGTAGATTCGTGCACCGCCACTGTTTTCGCCAGCCCAGTTTCGTAGTATTGCTGCAGAGCGGAATCGTCGGTAGGCGGGTCAGCGAAATCTATCCTGAGCCCCACCAAGAAAATTCCATCCCTCCTATATTTGCCGCACCAGTCCGTATTCACCCGCTGCTTATTCTCTGCTTATTCGTTGCTTATTCGCTACCTAATCGATGCTTATTCGTTGCCTATTCGCTGCTTTTATTCGCAGCTTACCCTAAACCTAATCCCAATTTTTATCGTTTGGCACTGCCCAGCTGTTACCCTGTACGTGTTATATTTCGTATACTGTCCCCCATTTATGCGTGCCATCCTCATATCGAGCTTGTGCCATGTTTATTCTATCTTTTTTGAACTTTCTCGTGGCTTCTTCTTTATGCCCCCTTTTTTGAACTTATTTGTGGCCCCTTCTTTATGCGTCCCTGGGGTGTTACCAAACCACGCCTTGGCTTGGGAAACCTTTCACCGCGGGTCTTTCGCTGCTCTCCATAGAGGCAATCTATACCCCTGCATACTTTTTGTCTCTTTTAGTTCCTCTCATCTGACTTTCTACATTTGCTGAGCTGCTACCCACGTGCGGTGAGCTTATCCACTCCTCGAAAGAAGGATTAGAAGCGCTGGTAGTGCCCCAAGTGGTCAAGCCTCGCAGGTAACCCCCAACAGGCAGGTGTGTTTACTCCCGAGCAGATAAGCAGATATAGAGCACCATACATTTTTTAAGAGGAGAGGATCTGCACGAACGAAGCTAATCCAAGAAAAAGGTGCAAGGAAAAAAAAAGAAAAAAAAGAAAGAAAAGGAGAAACTGGGATAGGTTGGAAAAAAGAACATGTACACCGAGTACCTGTCCATAGCATACCAGACAGACACCGATAGAGGGGAGTCAGACGAGTGATTCTTGGTCATCTGATGGGCCACCTTTTGGGAAGAAGCTGCTTTGGGGTCCTTTTCTACACATAGACGAATCTTCTTTTCTTTTCGCGATTTGATGTGGGCTAACTAGATAACACTCCGTGTTTTTTTTTTTTTTCTTCTTTTTGAGTCCTTTTTTCCGACCGCGTTGTTTTCCCCCTTTTTATCGTGACACCGACTGGATGTCGGGACAGAGGGAGCATCGCTCTACTTGAGGAAGCGGCCTGCTCACGGAGATTCGCCGAACAGGGCGCAGCACATTGCACCGCTGTTCGCGCTGTCCCTCCCGCTGACCCTCCAGCTACTCCCCCCGCCGCTTCCCCCCCAAGATGATGATTTACGATCGAATAATCCAGTGCACCAAGCGGCGCTACAAGAGCAAGGACGAGGAGACCTCCTCCGAAAGTGAAGACAGCACGGACAGCTCAAGTGTAATCAAAGAGAAGATGAACCCCCGTAAGTATGTGTCGGACGAATGTCAACACATCCTTTTCTTATCCTCCTTCCAGTTGTCCCTCGCCCTCATCTTTTCTCTTTTTTGCAAAATATACTACCTTGCCTTTCTAAACATTGCCCTCTTTTTAACCTCAATAATACACTGGTGGAACCCTGAATTAGGATTACGTCGAACAATCGATATGACCATGACCGCTACGAACTTCCTAATGCACCTCATCCACTCGTTTACCATAAATTCGATGTGCTTCTTTGTCTGCATCTGTGGAGGAATTTTGATAGTCATACTATACTTCGTCGGGAAGAGGTTCAGTTACAACTCCTACAGCACTGTCTGCCACCTCCTCATTCACACCACCGGCAGCATCTCCTCCCTCACCATTTACTACATTTCGAAGAACAAGCTTATTGACCACTCGTGAGGCGTAGAGCAGCAGATGAGGCATAGAGAAGCAGATGAGGCGAAGCGAAACGAATGAGGCGAAGCCGAGGTGGCTACCAAGGGGGTGCTCAGATAAACGCCGCCTATCCGCCAGACCGCTTCCCCATACGCACCGAGCGGAATCAACGGAGGCATGTTAGCCGCCCCCAAGTTGCCCACAAACACTCCACCGTACAAATATACCTTATCAAACGCACAATGAATCTGCACGCGCAAACCGCAATTTTTGAACCTCCCTTTTTTTTTTTTCCTTTTTTTTGTCTATGATAGTAAGCAGTGATGACTGATTCCTCCCCCTACCGTTGTGTGTGTGTTTGCGTTTGTGTCACTTTCTAATTCGTAGGTTTTTTTATGTTTTACCAGGGGAGTATCCCTTTTTTACGTTGCCTACATCCCGCTCCCCCCCCACACATACTTTTTCCTCCGTTGAAACGGAATGATGTATCCAACATGTTTGTTAATAATTGATTATGTATCCGTCGGGGGGGGCGTGGTTTTTCCTCTGCCTGTGCAATCTCCTGCACACACTTATGCACTTCACCGCTACACCTCCGTAACGTCTTCCCATTTGATGCATCCTCCACATTCACAAAAAAAGAAACAGAATTAAACTTTAGGCTTTTTTTATTTTTACCTTTTTTAAGTTAATATGAAAAGAGATTCTCAGCTGCTTCATTTTAGTTTCACCCAAGGGGGGTCTTCTGGAGCACACGACGGAGAAAGGAACCTTCGAATTGGTGCTTATCCCCGTCCGCCACAATTGCCCTGGGGGGGTCGTCTTCACCTGGGACGTTTTCTCCCAACTTCTCTCTTGGAATGGCCTTATCTCTGTTTCTTTGCTGCATTAACCATGACTCAGTTGCTCCTTTAGCGAAGTGCAGAATGTTCCTCTTCCTTTTGGCAGAGGAGTAATGACAAATAGGTATTCTCAATGTAGAGTCCACGTTTTAGCATCTCCCTCCCGTGTGATATTTAGCAGTTGGGGAAGGGAGCCTCATCGGTTAGGCCTCCACATGGCTTGAGTAATCTTCCCCCGCACTTGTGTTGTCGTCTCGCAGCAACGTTCGCTGAAACAGTTGCTTCAAACACTTCGCCGAAGCAGCTCGTTGCGATTCGTGCCCCGAATCACCCATCCCCTTTGTCAGCGCCGACATGTGCAACTTCTTGCCCCCACCTCACAGAACAACTTCGCAAAGTACACCCCATGTGAGTGGAACCTCTATGCCCAGGAAGTGTAGTGCCCCTCTTTGACGAAATATAGGAGAAAAGCTGTCCCTCCGTCGCCGCGTCAACAGGGGAAAGAAAAAAAAAAAAAAGAAAAAAAAAAGAAAAAAAAGAAACCTCCTTTACATGTTGGAATAAAGTTACCTTGCCTCTTCTTTAACTTCTTTCTCTTCATCCTGCTCACCTTTTCAACTTTCCCATCTTGGTGAGATTTTTTTTCCCCTTTTCTCACGTGCGTGTAGAGATACACTTGTAGGTATCTTCTTATGCGCGCGTGCAAAGGTGTAACGGGCTGTCCCTCCGTCGCCGCGTTAACAGGGATGTCGCAAGGATGCTGAGAAAACTTTGCAGCCGTTTTGACGCAACCATCTGTTAAAGCGCCACGCACTTGAGCAGTGTAGGCCAGTGGCAGCGCGGCGACCACGTGCCGGCTAATAAAGACTGCACAACGGGGAGCCTCCGCGAGCTTCTCACCTCACGAACACGGCCTACAGGCGGATAGGCTTATCGGCGAGGGCACATGCGAAGGATGCGCGGCAGTTAAGTTCCTCCGCCACGCAGGCATCCGCATAGACCACGTGAAAGCCACAGCTAACTGCACAGCGAGAAGGTTTTTTCGCCCCTGTGTAGTTTCGACACGTGTGCGATTGTACGGGGGTCGTCTGGAGGAGCGTGCCAAGTGGGAGAGGAGGCCAACTAGGAAACGTGGACCAAATCGACCCAGCCGCAGAAGTCATTCGAGGCGAAGACCGCCACAATTTGCCACCCCATTTGCCATCCCCCCCGCGTACAAGCCATCAAAAATGTAAATAGAAGAATGAAAGGAGAAAAAATGCGACCTGCTTACCCCCCCCGAAAAGCGCTCCTGTCCCCATGCCTCCTAATTACACTGATCCTTCCATTTATCGTCCAGCTTTCACATCAAATTGGGTTGAAAAAAGACATACGTTTCACCATCGGGAGTGGAAACCACGACAGTAGGTCCCCCTTTGTTAAGAGAAAACATTTTGGCGACTCCATTTTTCTCCCGCTAGGAAGGAAAAGGAACAAGTTTACTTCCATCAGTACGGACATCTTCAAAGATCACTCTTCTGATGGGAAGCGAAAAGACGAATGGAAGACTCACGTGGTGAATGTGGGCACCAGCCAAAAGAGTGAGCCCCAAGGGGGGTGTACAGTGCTAAAAGAGAAGAGCCAGCAGTCCTCGCTAGGCAGCACTGTTGATGGGAAAAGTGGGGGCAGTCATAGCAGCCATAGCAGTCATAGCAGTGCCACTGCTCATGCGATACGGGGTAGGGATGTACCCTTTGGGGAGACAAATCAGGGGAAGACGCCCTCCGAGGAACAAAGGCATATCCTGCACAACAACCTGATTAGACGACTCATAAGCAAATTTTGGCCATTCGGGGAGAAGAAGGAGGAGGCTGGTAGGAATGGAGAGGCATCCAAACGAAGTGGACATGGGGGAAGAGGAGGAGATGAAGAAGGAGACCCCCCCGACCCGGATAAGCACCCATGGTGGGAAAAGAAGTCAGGGGGTGAGCAGCCCAGGGAGCCTTCTTCAGGGGAGCCCCCCCCAAGAGAGACGCCTCGCCCCAGCAGAGGAACAGACCACGACAAGGAAACGGACTTCCTACTGAAAGCACTGGAGACGGGCAAATTCCCCTCCTACTGTCTCGTCGACAATATTGACGAAAATATAGATAACTGCGAAATATATTTGAGTAAAGAAAAAATGGAGGAGCTCAATCTCAGTGAGGGGTTCACCGTCTTGTTGAAGGGAAAGAAGAAAAAGGAGATGTTAGCAATATGCAAGCTAGACAGAACGCTAAAGAAACATTTCGTGGTGATCTCCTTTGCGATGAAGAAGAATCTCAGACTGATGCATAACGATATTGTCAAGATTTACCCTTTAGTGAAGGTCAGTCCTTTACGAACCGTTGTCCTTAGCCCCTTTAGTGACACCGTTGGGGGGCTGAGTAAAAGAGAGCTAGAAGAGGAGGTGCTAAAGCCCTATCTCAAAGGAAGCTTAAAACCGCTTTGTGAGAATACAAATCTGTACATTCAGCATAAGGGGAAGAAGATCGAATTTAGGGTAGTGAAGTTAAGGAAGGAGGGTGAAGAAGAAGCACCTCCGAAGGAAGAAAACAAATCAGGGGAAGGACCAGTAAACCTTCCCACCTCGCAACAGTACGGTTACGTTGGTGACAATGCCATCATCACATTGGACGAGGAATACCTAAACAGAGAGGACTACGAAGAGCATACAGATGATATTACATATGAAGACCTCGGAGGAATGAAGAAGCAATTGAACAAAATTAGGGAACTCATCGAGTTGCCTCTAAAATATCCTGAGATATTTATCAGCATAGGGATATCTGCTCCCAAGGGTGTCCTCATGCATGGAATCCCAGGGACAGGAAAGACTTCCATCGCGAAAGCAATTGCTAATGAGAGCAATGCCTACTGCTACATTATAAATGGGCCAGAGATTATGTCCAAACATATAGGAGAATCGGAGCAGAAGTTACGGAAGATTTTTAAAAAAGCCAGTGAGAAGACACCATGCATTATCTTCATCGATGAAATTGATTCCATCGCAAACAAAAGGAGCAAAAGTACAAATGAGCTGGAAAAGAGAGTCGTCTCACAGCTGCTGACTCTAATGGATGGATTAAAGAAAAACAATAATGTCTTGGTTCTGGCTGCCACGAATAGACCAAATTCTATTGATCCTGCTCTTAGACGCTTCGGCCGATTTGACAGAGAAATCGAAATTCCGGTTCCAGATGAGCAGGGTAGGTACGAGATTCTTCTCACCAAAACGAAGAAGATGAAGCTCGATGCGGATGTCAACTTGAGAAAGATCGCCAAGGAGTGCCACGGCTACGTCGGTGCGGATCTCGCGCAGCTCTGCTTCGAGGCCGCCATTCAGTGTATCAAGGAGCACGTGCATTTTTTGGATCTCGATGAGGAGGACTTCATCGAATTTATGAAGATAAGCGTGGAGGAGCGGCGGGGCGAGGGTGGGGATGGCGGAAATTTCGGGGAAAGCAGTGTAGTGCCTAGTACGGAGAAGGAGAAGGGGAGAAGCCGGTTCTTCTTCCAAAGGGGAGAAGCAAAAGGGGAGGCCGCGTCGGCCAAGTCCCTGTCGCCCGCGAAGTCTCCTGCCTCCAGCAGAGGCACCCAACAACTGGATAGCAAGGCGAAGAAAATCCCACCATACATCCTCAACAGATTAACCATAAAGGCGAAGCATTTCCAGCACGCACTGAACATATGCAACCCGAGTTCGCTCAGAGAAAGACAGGTGCAGATCCCTACTGTGACGTGGGACGACATCGGAGGCATGCATGAAGTGAAGGAGCAACTCAAGGAAACGATTCTGTACCCTCTGGAATATAAACACCTCTACTCTAAATTTAACTCCAATTACAATAAAGGTATATTGCTTTATGGCCCCCCTGGCTGTGGAAAGACTCTCCTAGCTAAAGCAATCGCGAATGAATGTAACGCCAACTTCATTTCTGTCAAAGGCCCCGAATTGCTAACCATGTGGTTTGGTGAGTCGGAGGCTAATGTGCGGGATTTGTTTGATAAAGCGAGAGCAGCTTCTCCCTGCATTATTTTCTTCGATGAGATTGATTCTTTGGCAAAGGAACGGAACAGTAACAATAACAACGACGCGAGTGACAGAGTGATAAATCAGATCCTCACCGAGATTGATGGAATAAATGAGAAGAAAACCATCTTTATAATCGCTGCCACCAACCGACCAGACATTCTCGACAAAGCTCTCACCAGACCAGGACGATTGGACAAACTCATATATATCTCACTGCCCGATTATAAAAGCAGGTGCAGTATTTTTAAGGCCATATTGAAAAACACGCCCCTTAGTGACGATGTCGACCTTTACGACATGGCCAAACGGACGGAGGGTTTTTCCGGGGCAGACATTACCAACCTCTGTCAGAGTGCCGTCAACGAAGCGATTAAAGAGACGATTCACCTGATTAATCAGCGGAAGGCGGAGAAGGGAGGGAGTGCACGGACGCAGGGCGCGGACGATCACTACGACCCGGTACCAACCCTGGCCAAGAAGCACTTCGATTTGGCCTTCAAAAACGCCCGCATTTCCATTCGGCCCGAGGACGTCCTCAAGTATGAGCGCTTTAAGGAGAAGCTCTCCCTGCAGAACTTCGACTGAGGGGGGGGATCCCCACTCCAGTTTGCGGCGCTATGTTAGCGGTGCTATGTTAGCGGCGCTCTCCGCTGCGCTATGTTTGTCACTGGGAGGAGGCCCTGGGAAAGGAAGTTCCTCCATTCCGTCCTTCCCTCCTTCCTTACCATTTCGGGCGCCCGCATTATGGTAAACTCGCCACCTTTCGAAGCAACGCTTCCTTCTTTGCTTCCTTTTTTTTTGTCATCCCCTGCGGATAGCACCACAAAGTATCTCTATTTGGATAACAAATGGTATGCATAGGGACATCCACGCGGATGTGAAGATTGTCAAGTGTGCTGCCGCGACGTGGTACAGCATGAGTTTTTTTTCTAATCTTTTCTTTTTCCCCCGTTTACATACGTTTGCGCCATCAATGCGTTCCAACAATGTGGCCTATTTTACGCCTTCCCATCTGTCTGTCTTTCTGTGTGTCTCTTTTTTTTTCCCTGTATGGGAGGCCCACACGGGGGTAACTCATTCATTTGCGCGTAGGCTCTGTGTTTACCAAAAAAAAAAAGAAAAAAAAAAGAAAAAAACGCGCCGTACAGTTGACGCGTAACGGTCGCCCCGTTGTAGTGTGCCCCTGTCCGAGTGGCATAACGGTTTATCTGCCAAGAGGCTGCTTATCTGTCAGAGCGCCGCTCATCCGCAGGGACGCCCCTTCCCTACTCCCTAAACGGAATAGCCCTCCGAGTGGGGGAGCAGCAACTGCGGGTGCAGGAATATCTTGGGAACGCCAGGCACGGTGACGTATGCCCCGAGGAGGAAGGACTCAGAGTGGTGTTCTCCACCGATGAGGAGCGGACTACCTGCTTGCACGTGCAGCAGCTTCTTCCTCTTCCTCTTGCAAGTGACAGGTGGCCACGTGAACGTAGCCTTTGCATCCTTCTCCATGTGACTCGAGTGAACATTGCACTTGAGAATCTCTGTAACGAAGCACTTCATATTTTCCAGCGTATCGTACGGGTCCATCTCAGTAGACGCAATATTGACATTCAGGTTGGCTATAGAACCCAAATGGATATTCCTAAATTGATAAATCTGACTGAACAGATCAAAGGTGTCTGTGTCGACTTGTTCACTTCGGTACTCAATTCGGTTGCCACTCTTTATGGAGAGGATGGCATCCACCAGATTGTGTACTAATGTATTGGACTTAACATTTGGCATTAACTTTTTCGGTCCTAATATTTTGGCAACAGGAAGGATCTTATTGATGTTTTTAAAATCGGACAGACATAAGTGAAAATCCAGCCATCCGTTTTTTATTTTGTTAATGTATTCTAAGCCTACATAATCGGCTCCAGCCTTCTTCAATGTCTGATGATCTTCATCGACTAGCACGAGGATCTTTTTGTTCCTGTCTACACTGTGAGGAAGGTTACACATGCCTCTTAGTGACTCTCTCTTGATATCAATCTTGATGATTAAATTGAAGTGAATTTTTTCCTCCCGGTTGGTACTCTCCATGGGGGAGGCATGACCACTATGAGGGTACCCGCTTTGTACATGTCGACAGCTTAGGAGCAGCTTTAATCCCTTCATAGGGGACACTGGGGGGACGAGCTGCTCACAGGGAGGCGGCTGATTGGTATTATCTGCGTCTCTTTGCTGAGCCCAACTGGACTGTGTATCGTCTCCACCGGTGCTGCTTGAACGGATATTTTCCACCTCTTTGAGCTGCTTCCCCTCGTTCACATCTTCACTCCTCCCCCTCTTCTTGTACCCCTTGTTGACATCATAAAAGGGAATGTACTTTTTCCATCTGCGCAGTTGAGAAAAAGGTTCCTGCCGTTGTACGCCGCCATTTCCCACTTGGGGGTGCAGTAGCAGGAGCCTTTTCATCGAGCGCGCCAATGGGGAAGTAAAACACCAACGAGAAGTCACAAATTGTGGCCAAGGGCAACGAAGTGAAACGGATTAGAATGAAGCGAAATGGAATCAACTCGGGTCCTTTTTTTTCTCTCCTTTCTTTTTTCTTTTCCGTTGCATCCACCGGTGTAGTGTGCGCACCAGGTGAGGGGGAAGACTTGTAATTTCTGCTTCGCCTCACTCTGCGTCGGATTTTTTTTTTTTTTTTTTTCCCCCAATAAGTAGTAAAACTTAAGCCTTTTTCACGTCACAAGGAGGACAAACTAATCAGGAAAAAAAAAAAAAAGAAATTCTTCTGTTTTTTTTTCTTCTTTTCTTGTAAACGCCATCCGGATTATCTCCCCGACGTGTAACCCCAAAATGGAGGACGCAAAGATGATGCCTTCGCAAAGATGATGCCTCCACAAAGATGACGACCCTGCAGAGATAAACCTGCGGAGTGGTTCCCTCGTCCGCCTTTTACTTCTCCACTTTGGTCCTTCTCCTCCCAAAGAGGGCTGCATCTCAAGATGATCGCCTTCGACGAGATTTTCGAGTTCCTACGGGAGGCTGAAATAACCTGTGACCATTTTAACGAGCAGAGTGAAGAACAGGAAGCAATTATCCTATTCCTAAATGAGTTGAAGTCGTATATCGCCGATCTGTCCCTTTCGCTGAAGCATAGGATAAACGCCTCCGACGACATAACGGAACAGGACATTTTGAAGAAGATTATTAACAAGAAGGAAAGTCTTGAGTGGATCCTTCGGAAAAAGAGGGACAATTTCGTTGGCGATGTCCCATCGGGGGGGAGATCTTCCCCGCTCATCTGCGCTGGTGGAAGGAATCATGGGGACGTCAGCAACTCTGCTAAGCGTGCCAAGTGTGATGTTGACGGCAATAGCGGTGTGGATTCCCCTACAGGAGAACCCTCCCCTAGTGGCGCTGCGACTACTTATCCAGAGGGGCCCATCTCCCAGTCTCCCAGCCGCAGCAGTGTGGGAGAAACTTGCGACACATCCTCAAAAGTCAACGCCGCTGAGAAGAAGGAGCATCCACCCCCGTCGCAAAATCTCCCTTGTGCAACGCCAGGGTGTAATAAAGTGGAACCATCGCTTAAGGGAGAGAAAATTGCAACGGAAGAGGAATTCCTCTCAAAGGAAGACCCCGCCACAGCTTCCCCATCGGAACTTTCTTTGCGCTCCTCTGGGGTGGAAACCCTAAATGATGAGATCCTAAAAGAATGGAGCGAGCAAATTGACGAGTATGATAACCTACTCTATGAATACACCTTTGCATTTAAAAAAAAAGACTTGCATAAAAAAATGGAATCCAGAAAAAATATGAACAACTCAGGTGAAAATATCGATGAAGAGTTATGCCTTCTGGCACAAGAAATGAAAGAAAACGTTTTAACATACAGAGATATAATTGTGGAGGACAACAGGATGCTGGAGCAGTCAGCCAACAAACAGATGTCCAATTTGGACAATATAACTGATGTGTATAAGAAGACGAAGAAAATGGGGCAGAGCAAAAGCATTTCCTTCTTCGTCTCACTGCTCATAATTTTCGTTTCGGCTCTGCTGTTCGTGCTGACCTTTTTTGTCATCCTGATTTTGTAGCGCGGTGGAGTGGGAAGGCGGTGATGTGGAGAAGAAGTCGCTGCGTGGCGATGTGGCAACGGGGTGGAAAGAGTCTGGACCTTCACGCAACCACATGGGTCACCTCGAGTCCCTACGCGCGGGTACCTTTTGTGCCGCCATACCTGGTCAGTAAAGGTGGATGCTCCACCAAACGGGGGACCCTTTTACCTCGGCGTACAGCAAGCAGAACGGGGGAAATCACCAAAAAGGAAGGAAAGAGGAGAAGAGAAGAGGACAAGACGAAAAGCAGATATAACGCCGCTTTCCCCCTCCCGCATCCAGGCTGCGAAGGGAATTTCCTTTTTTTTTTTTTTTTTTTTTTTTTTTTGAGACGGAGTCTCGCTCTCAACCGTATGTAGAAAATGCATCATTGAGAATGGGGAATCGCATCTGTGGGTTTTTTTTCTTTTTTTTCCTTTTCCCCACCTGTAGAGGATGCCTTTGTATCTTGCCTGTGGAGAAAATAACGCAGGTAAGGAAAAAAAAAAAAAAAAAAAAAAAAGAACCGTTCAGTTTTGTATTCTCACAGTGATAACCGCCAAGGTAGCACAGTTGCCCTTTGTTTTTTTCGATGGATTTTTTTCTTTCCTTTTCCACTATAGAGGAGGGTTGCGGCTGAAACGGAAGCGTCCCAATAAAGCAATCGAATTAGTTTACTTCGAAATTCTCATGTGGCGTACCTCCAGAGCGCAGTCCATAATTGCTATGCCATTTTGAAGCATTCCTCTTTTTTTTTTTTTTTGTTCTTTTGCCACTTGGGAAAGTCAGCTCGGAAAAGAAATTAAAAAATAAGAAGAAGAAGGCAGAACAACATGCACATGAGTGATGTTCCCCCGGGGGGGGAAGAGGCCGCAAATGATGAAGCCGCGAACGATGCAGCCGCAGAAGGAGAAGTAACAGAGGTTGGCAGCCAAGTTGAGCAAAAGGGAATGCATGATCTAACCGCGGGCGGTAGAGACGCAGGATGGGGTAACTCGGACGGATGGCTCGCGGAGAAGGACGCAGAGGGACCCGCGCGGGAGGCGAAGAAAGTGCGCAAGAGCTTGGGCAAGGCTGGTAAAGCGTCAAAGGGGAAGGCGAAGAAGAAGGAGAAAGACGTGGCAGGGAAGGGGGCCAAGAAGGTAGCTGCGAAGAAGGGCAAAGCGATGGAGAAAGAGAAGAGAAAAGGTGAGTCGAGCCGAACGGACGATCCCTTCTTAACTGACTCGGAAGAGGAACTCTACAACGACGACAACCTCTTCATGCCCAGGGCGTTAAAGAAGGGGGCCCATAAAAAGGGCAACCAAAAAAGTAAGAAGAATGAGCAGAAGCTCAAGGCACAGACCAACCAAATTAGCAAGAAAAAACACGACAAGAGGGAAAAGAAAAACAAGTGTGAGAGGATCCAGAAGAGGAAGAAGAAGAATAATATGAAAAGCAAGTTCTGCACAGCCGAGTGCCTACCCCTTGGGCACTACTCAGAGGAACTCGAGAAAGAGCTCGCTTCGTACGCCACCAGCGGGTTTAAGAAGTACCTGAAGTTTTTAAAAAATTACAAAACTACCGTGGGGGTGCAAGAAAAGGTGGTGAGCAAGAAACCCAGGCACATGTATGTGTAGCGGTGTTTGCGCGGTGGTCTCAAGATGTCGGATTGCGCTTCTCCCATTTAGATGTCATGGCGGGTGGAGACAATAACCTACGGGGGTATGTCGTGGTGCCCACCATTAAGAGGGCATCCCCCTGCGGATTGACCAATCCCTACCTCTTCCCATTTTTTTTCCTCCTAAAAATACGCATACCTATTCCCATTTGTTTTAAATAACACTCTGATTTTCTTTTTTTTTTCTAATCAAATTTGTTTGTAAAATATGTGGACACAGATGGGGCACCTTACCCGAGGGGAGTTTTCTCCCTTCACCTTTACGCTTACCTTTACCATGCATTTGTCCCGGAATACTGCAGTGTGGTTACCTACCAGTGATGATTTGGGCCCCACTTACTAAACCAAGAGATGCTCATATGCACATTTGGTGTTGCCACCATATAGGAGCTGAGGGGTTGTAACTGAATAGGACTGCAAAAAATTTCACACGTCGATTTCCTAAGCGTGTGGTCCCATGTTAAGTCCCGCGCAAAGGTTAGAAGCCTACTTCTGTGGAAGGTATTTCCTGACTTATGGTGGCAAATTGGGGAGAAATACTCCATTCATAAATACCCTACTCATCCAAAACGGTTGTTTATCTTCCCCCCTTTTGGTGTGCACCCATTTTTTCATTGTTCATGTTGTCCTCCTCTACAATCGCGATCCCAAATGGATACGTTTAACGGTAAAAGGGGAAATTAACCCGTTTGAAGAAACCGCCACGAAATTGCAAAGATTGATCTTACTCATGTAGAAGGTGCCCCTCCCCCAAGGTGCGTATCTCCTCAGGAGAAAATTTTAATTACGTTGGTTTCTCCCCGGGGGGATGCAACCAAGGTGTGGGGGGAGCAGACCGTGTTCATTCGGCTTCGCCATTTTGCAGGTTCGCCATTTTGCAGGTTCGCCATTTTGCCGCTTCTCCTTTGCTGCTCCGCCATTTTTCTAACATGACTTTCTTCGCAGTGACCTTTTTTCCATCAATTCATCACTCCTTTCCGTTTTCCCAGGACAGAGCCATTAGGTATTATATACAACAGTGCGCAGCACTGCGCCAAGCCGTGACGATGCAGCACGCGCAGCCAACCCCTTTAAACTCGAGCTTTTTTCCACAACATCCTGGGCTCGTCTCACCCCCCTTGCCGCGTACCTTTTTTTTGCAAAAGTAGGGATAAAAAGAAATGCTCCAATTACTACTTAAATTTTTCGGTTAAAAGATATTCCCTTTGAGAACAAACTGGTGAGGTAAAGTGGCTCAGACTTTCCTCCCTGTGTTAACGAAAAATTGTGCCTTCTGTTTTTTTGCAAATGAGTAGGTAAGGTAGGGGCAGTGCTTCGAAGTGTTCGAGGAGCGTCAGTCAGCAGCGACATTTTCCTGTCGCGTTCTGCTAAATGGGGGCGATATGCAGTCCTTTCCCAGCTTCGTGCATTTAAATCGGGGGCGCTGCCGCGTTGTCGTCAGAATGAAGAAGTATACTGACGTGTTTTCATTAACGTCGTTGGAGGGATCATCTTGGTGGTAAAGGGAAGGCGCCACAACAAGGGGGCAAAACATATCCTTATAGAAACAACGTGCATGTGCGCACCTACGTATGCCGTATATTGGGAGCGCCAAATAATTTCCTCCTCCACCCCCCCCTTGGCATATTATTACCTCCCTGGCAACATTGCGATGAGAGCAAGGGTACTGTTACTTAGCAAGTCAGCACCTGTCCATGGAAAAAATGCACATTTCGGGGGGGGTAGGCTCTCCTCACGTGAGTATAAGCAGTAGCCGCGATGGAAGCGAAGCGCCGCTCATACGGTATGCACAAATAAATGCGCTAGAAATGCAATGCGCAAAAAATACTGCTTTTATTAGGGTCACCTGCGGCAGAACAAAGCCCCATTATTGTACGTAACTTTACGTGTACGTTTCCTTTTTTTTCTTTTTTAATTCGCCAATTTGAAAAAAAAAAGGAAAAAATTTTTATTAATCACGCTTTTATGACCTTCTATGCACAGCTGAGAGGAAAGAAAATTATTTTTTTTTTTCTGTTAAGCATAAAAAAAAGAGGAAGCAACTCACGTCATGTTTATTCATCCGTACGATCAATCACACGATAAGATAAGCGTTAAGCGCTGTTAGCAGTTTTATACTTTACGTTCACGCGCGTCAGCAACCTTAGCCATCGCCGTCGCCATCACCATCTCCATCACCATCTCCATCACTATCGCCTTGCCTTGAGTTTTACCAGTTCGGCCCCTTCGCCATCCGACAGTGAAACAATCGCGCGGCGAATCATATAAATATATATACGCGCATACTCTACGTGCCTACTCACGTGGGCACTTGTGTAACTCCTTTGCCGTACGAGTTAGGGAGAAGACTTCCCCTGTTCACGCAACCTTTTTCGGGAGCCCGCCCTCTTCTTAAACTTATATTATCCCCCCCTCCTTCTCTTTTTTCAAAATGGCGCAACGAGTTCATTATCGTAAACACAATCACTACAACACAAAGTCGAACAAAGTGAGGCCCATAAGGACGCCAGGGGGCAAGTTAACTATCCATGTAGTGAAGAAGAAGGCCGGGAAGCCAAAATGTGCTGATTGCAAAACGGCCATTCAGGGGGTAAGCACGAGGGAAGAAAAAGCCAAGTGGCTGGCACCAGAACTATCGCGCGAGAGAGCCGTGGAAGGAGAATGCCAAAGTACATGGGGCATACCATGAACATGCATATACACAATGCATATCGAGTTTTTCCCCTACATTTGAGGCTAACGAGAGGAATACGTGCTACACCATGTCGCGCCATTTCCCCACGCACCTCTTTATGTATACTTCATGCATTAGTTAGTGTTTTGCTTCTTCGTGAAGTGTTTCCCTTTTGGCTACCTTTGTCCTTTTTTTACCTGAACCGTTCATATTTTTTTTTTTTCAACCATAATACTCTGCGGCAATTTTTGTGCATAATTTTATGAACAGTTCATATTTTTCTTTTTCTCTTTTTGCACACCATGGTTGAAGCATTTTATGTTGTTTCGCGCAACAGCCTGTTCGTTACGTCATGGAGGAGATGCGCAGGAACGGATGTTGCTGGGCGTTCATGTGAGGGAGTAACTTCCCTCTTGAATATTCCAAGCACACAATTATCCTATTTCTTTTTCTTTTTTGCCATAATGTAGGTTAAGGCCCTGCGACCAGCAGACAACCGCCGAGCGAGGAAAAAGGATAGAAAAGTTTCCAGGGCCTATGGAGGCTCCATATGCGCCAAGTGCATTCGGGAAAGAATCATGAGAGCTTTTCTTTTTGAGGAGCAGAAATGTGTTCGACAAGTATTGAAGGAAAAGAAGAAACAGGAGAAAAAGGTGAAGAAGGTTAAAAAGGAAAAGAAAAAACCAACAGCCAAGGATGCAAAGAAAAAGACTAAAACTGATAACAAGAAGCCTAAGAAGGTCGCTGATAAGCGAAAGGGCAGATGAATGAGAAGGGCGTCTCTCCCAGGACCACTCTCTCTAGGGAAGTATATACATGTGCAGGAAAAGCAATGATATAGACAAACCCCATCGCACACACACCCTTGCGGAGAGAAAGTCAGAAATATGATGTGTGCACATGTGGTGGCTCACTGTCCGCGTGAGCTCCCCGCAGCTTTTGCAACTCCTCGCCCAAGGGCATGGGCACATACGCATGCGCAGTGTGCATATTCGCATAACACTTTTTTCTTCCTCTCTCCCTGTTTGACTTGCTTTCTTTTCTCCCTTTTTTTTTTTTAACTATACCGCGCTGTTCCATCTCTCAGTGTGTATATGTACCAAACTTACCTAAGTCATTTAAATTTTTTTAATTAAGCGCTGAGAAGGGAGGTGCCAAAGGTGAAGCGGACGCATTATTCTTGCAGCGGGTGTCGCGTCATGGTACTGCTTCCAACCCGGCTGATCGTGACTCCACGGCTTCGTCAAAATGATACTTAGCTTCAATATTAGAAGGGAAAGAAAACTTAAAAAAAAAGAAAAAAAAAAACTCTTCCCATTGAGAGACCTTCTTTAAACATTCACATGAACGGATTGGCGGTAACACTTTTTTTTTTTCTTTCTCACCTCTTCGTGTTCACATTTGGCACAATCGTCTCGTAGGCACCCCTTGGTGCGGTTACTCCTATTCGTAGTAACGTGTTGGGGAGAAACTTCTCCGTTCATTATAAGGTTAAAAAAAGGAAAAAGAGCGTGGAAATTTTTTTTTTTTTTTTTTTCCTTTCCTATGTGAGACTCTTCCGCGAATTACTAGCACTACTATCGCGGCTTCCCCAATTTGATGGTGATTTTGGGAGAAAAAAAAAAATTTGACCTTCCCCTGTACCCCACCCCCTGTATAGTTGCTTTCGCCACCCAGCGAACCCGTCATGCTTCCTTTCATGGTGACCCCTGCAGTCGACTATGTGCTTGATCCAGTTCCTTTTTTGAGCACACCTTGTGGGGGGGGCGAAGCAGGTGTAAGGCAAGCGGGTGTATGGCAAGAGGGTGAACGTGCATTTGAGGGTCGGGCTATAACGGGGAAGTGCTACCACACGGAGTGTTTGAGCAGGTCGCACTAGGGCTGACCACGCTACAGCAGACCGAAGCACACACTCCAAGTCAGAAATGTCTGCGACGAAGATACTCTTTCCCATTTTATTCTTCACACTTATCCTACGTACGCTGCTAGTTACTAGCGAAAGTAAACACACACAAAATTATTACACACTGAGTAGGAGTTCGCACAGCACCACGCGAGAGACGAACCGGAAAAGCAATTCTCTTCACGTAAAGAAGAGGCTCATTAGGTTGAGGCGGGGTAGACTTCGTGTTCCTCCTCCGCGTGCGTCCGCATTCCTCGTCTTTGACATAATAAAGGTAAATCAGAGAAAAAAAGGGGGGTGGCTCCACCTCTGCGATGGAGTACGTGGAGAATTATTTCAAGCAGCGCCGTTGTCGGCATCCTTTTTCTCCCCCCTCACAGGGAGCAAATCTCACCCACTTTTTTGGCGCAGATTTTCGGGCGGCTGTCCGACCAAGAACTACTAGGCCACGTGATTTCGCACAACAACGACTTCATACAGATCAACAAAAATAAGGGGAAAAAAAAATGGGAGAAATTATTCCTCCCCCAAAACGAAAGCTTAAATTTCGAAGCTTTTAAGGACTTTCTGAGACAGGCTCAATTCGAGTGGCCCCTCACCATCAACTCTGGGCAGATAAAGAACCAGGGCTCGATCAGCATCCCGGGTAGGTCCCCAGGGTGGAAGCCACGCCGCACTGGTTTGCCTCCCTCGCGTGGCGGTTTCGGGAGGTTTCCTCTCCATCTGGACTGCCTCCCTATCTCGCCTGTTTTACCCATCTGGCTTGGCTTCCCATCTCGACCGCCTTACCCCTCCTCCGCCGCAGTTTGCCCCCTCGTTTATGTAGAGAGCTGCCGCAAAATCAGTGAGTTCCTCAAGGGAAAGAACAAAAACAAAGGCGTGAACGCAGGCACCAACAGAGGAGCGAAGATCAATTTAAAACTTATTAACGACTACGTGAGTGAGCAGCCCATCTCGAACGATGCAATGCGTAAGTGAATTGGAGAAGGAAAAGGAGACGAAAGATCAGAAGCTGTGCAGTGCGTGAAGAAATAATCGGCACATGGGATGCATGCCGACGTGGGAAGGTCTCTCCAATTGGCAGCTGTGCAAACGACCGGTTGGTAATCCCTGTGAGCACATCCATTCATATTATTTCCCTCCCCCGATTTACTTCCCCTTCCAGAGTGCGTCTTTTCCTCCTTTAGCGACCTTCCCGAGCTAACGAAGGATCAGTTTATAAGCAAAATTCACGAGTGGGCCCCATCAGATGGTTCGCAAAATGGACAATGTTGACCTTGCCTGGTGGTGTAGAAATTGGAAAAAGGTTAGGCACCACCAAGTGGGGTCATGTGGAGAAATTATTTTTTTTTTTTTTTTTTTTTTTTTTTTCTCCTCTTTAGGGATAATCGACTGGTACACCTTCGTCTACAACTTGAAGGAGGAGCCCTCGGACAACATAAAAAGATTTTTTGACTAAACTACGATGTGAAGGAGGCCATTTGGAGTGAATGCGAGTGTTCTGTGGAGTAGCGGCACCGTCTGGTGGAAGCCTAGCCCGAGGGGGAACTTCTCCGCCACTGTGTAACGTCGTCTTTCATGTGAAGTTTACCTTCTGATGTTGCCCGGTTATTTTATTTTATTTTATTATTATTTTTTCTTTCTTCGCGGCCGGCTAGGAAGACTCTTGGGGGAAGGGGCTGCTTGAACAGGCGAATGTGTTGAGAATTCCATGTGCAACGAATTAGAGTTGTCCATGCCGCTAACCATGCCGCTTCGCACATCGCTCCCCCCCCTCAGAACTGCATGTACTCCACCTGGTAGGCGCACTTCCTGCACCTTTTCACGTAAAGGGAATCCTCCGCGTTGGTGCAGGTGGGCGAGTCAAACTCGTGTTCATTATCATCGCAAATGATTTTTTGTTCCTCCTGCTTTTTAACCTTCTTACTGTAAATACTCTTTGGCTTAACCATCTTGTGCAGGTCCTTCCGTTTCTTCTTCGACTGAGGAGTTGTCTGTGCATTGCTAAATGAGTTTAGCAGCTTCGATATGTACATGCGTTTGACTCCTTCCATGGAGCCGTGCTTTCGTATGGCAATTTCTTTGATTTGGAAAAGAAAGTAGAGTTTCATTTGTTTGGAATACCCACGTGGGTTCTTTGTGCACAGAAGAGCTAGCTGTTTTTCATATTTGGATAGGTCATAATTGTTAAGGCAATATTTCCTCACTAACTTGCTGAGGGATATCATTTTGAAGTTATTGTCCAACACTTTGCAATCGTAGCAGATGTATATGTTTACTGCACACAGGGGTTTATTTAACTTCTTCTTCTTGTTGCATAAGAAGCAATACTCTTGTAGAATGAGCTCTCCGTTAGTCCCGTGTTGCCTCTCCACACTGAACAGGAATTTATCTTTATTTTTTTGGAAAATCTTGTTTAACTGCTTTATGGCTTCCTCATCTTCGTTTAGATGCGTGAGGTCTGCGGTGTCACTCCAGGGGGCACTCCCCTGTGTGAGCTTTAGTAAGGAATTCCTGACGCTGCTGTCTTCGCAGTGATGGTCTGCCGTGGGGATAAAATGGGGCTGCTCCAAAAGCGGTCTCTCCAGAAGCGGTTGCACCAATAGCTGTCCCTCCCCCCCGGAGTCCTCTTCCACGTAGAAACCCCCCTCATTCAACACCTCCTCCAGTTCTGCATCCTGTCCGATTGCATTATTGGGAGTGCTCCCCTCAGCAGGGGTAGCAGTCTCCTTTCTTTGCTCCACCGGGATGACCGTCTCTTCATTTTGCCTCGCCTCACCCCCATCCGATGTGACCCCACTCGGAAGCATCACCTCCTGGAGGAACTCCTGTAGAAAGTTTTTCCTCTGGAACTTCAAGTAAAAATTGATGTGTGGTAAGTCTTCCCCATAGTAGTCTATTTCGTCTTTTAGGTTTTGTTCATACAGGATGGTGTTGTAATTGGCTTCTTCCCTTTCGTTTTCCGAGTCATCGCTGTGCGCCATGGTCGCGAGTGGGTCGGCCCAGCTGTGCTTCCATTCAGTTCCTTCTTCTCAGTCTCACACAGTTTGGTTGACTCCCCTGAACAATTCGTCCGGGGGAGGACGGCATACTCACGGATACAACGTGGTGCATGAGAGTTCCACTAAGGTTCGCTCTCCCCCTGGGAGTACTCCTCCAAAGGGAAAAAAAAAATCCATGCGTGGCTATTTTCCTTGGCCCGTTTTTGTTCCTCTCTAGTGCATATTATTACGGGGTCGGTACTCTGCTGACGGTGGGTAGTCTCCTCTGTGCAAAGGGGGGAAGACGGTATATATATACATGAATGCTTCGCACAGAAGGAAAAAAAAAAAAAAAAAAAGTCACTCATGTGAGTGCACATAAAACTCTTGTATGCATTAACAGATAGATATACGCTACGATTCCCTTTTTCTTCCTTTTTTTTCTTTTTTTTTCTTTCTCCTCATGCGACTTCACCACCGCTATGTATGTTTATTTTTAAAATTTTGCCACCGCTTCCGCGCAGCGAGTGACCTACAAAAGTTGTATAAGCTTTCCCGCTAAATCCCTTTGGACACTCTCCTGCTCACGTTTGCCATGTAGGAGAGAGCCACTCCCCCTTCCTGGCTCTATGATTGTCAGAATACATCTGCAGAGGGGAACATCCGATCAGCTGCGGATTATGCCACTTCATGCAGGGGTTTTATACTCCCCCTGGGGTGAACAGAATGAATAGGGAAGGGGCGAATATGCGGACAAAAGAGGGGGTCCACCATATGAGAACAAAAGCGGGAATCTCCATTTATGACTCCCCCCTTTGAAGAGGTTCCTTTTGAAGGGCTTCCCCTTGAGGAGCTTCCCCTTGAGGAGCTTCCCCTTGAGGAGGCCTCCATTTCGTTTCCCCCCCACCCCCACATGTGAACGGAAAAACGCGCAAAATGAATTGCACCGTCTTGTTCCTTGTGGTAGCGGCCATTGTGACGGTGCTCGATCGATGGGAGAAGATCCCCAAATTTTACGCCAGGTTGGAAGGGAGAACATTCTCTTGCATGGTTGCTGCTGTATATATTCACTCGTCCCGTCACACTGGTGTAGCTAATCCGACCTCTCACATGATACCTTTTTCGCTTCCCTCTCTCTCTTCAGAAAGTTAGCCCATATGTTGTGCGGCCTAATCATCCTCCTCTTCGACGTTAGCATAAACGGCAGTAGAAGGTCGCCTCAAGTGAACGATGCTGCCAACACCGGGGAGGGAAGCCATTGCGTCTTGTTCATTTATCTGATAGCTGCCACGTCCATTCTCCGCTGCTTTATCTGTCCATTCAGGTATGGCCCCGCGGGGGAATCGCGCGGGAGTTTTCCATCCCCTGAAAAGTTGCCCTTCCCCCCTATAACGTGTTCCTCTGTTCACCACTCCACCTGTTGGCCTCTTCCCCCCCAAACCACAGATTTGGCGTATACCGAGACAAAGGAATCATCATCTACAACACAGTCGTGTCTCTTTTTTTCTTCTTCAAACTGCCGCTCTACGTGTTGACGCCCATCTTTTTCGCAGACCCGATGGCAGCCATCGTGGGCAGGCAGTTCCCCGCCCACTCTATTTACAAGAAGAAAACAGTAAGGAGAAGAGAGAAATCGAGCGGAGTGGTTTGCTCACTGGCCCAGCGGGTGGGTCTGCTAAGTGGGTTCGCAGAAAGGACCACTGTCTCGCGCTCAGCTTTACGATGTGGCGCCACTTAGATGGGCTACTCACTGTTTCATTGCTTCACTTCTTCCCTTCCCTTGCAGCTGCATGGCACCCTGGCCTGCTTCTTCGTGTCGCTTGTGTCCCTTTACTACGTGCAGAATTACCTGCACATGCTCCTCCTAGGCTTGGCCCTCAGCCTGCTTGAACTCTTTGGCGGTGCCATGGACAATCTGTGCATGTGCTTCCCCATCTTCATTTATATGATGTTTTTTAACGTCTAGTTTTGCTCCATCGGTCGGCCCATTTTAGCTTCCCCGTTGCATCTTACCCGTTGCATCTTACCCGTTGCATCTTACCCGTTGCATCTTACCCGTTGCATCTTACCCGTTGCATCTTACCCGTTGTATCTTACCCGTTGCATCTTACCATTTGCAGTGGACCCATTGCAGTCGACCTGTTGCAGCTCAACCGGTGCTGTCGACCCCGTTTGTGAAACCAGATTGTCCGTCCGCCCCCCAGCCCAGCGACACATGCGTGCTCATGGCATCTTTAAAAAAAAAAAAAAGAAGTGGAAACGAAGGGACAAAAAATATCAAGTGATGAAGTGGCGGCCAAATTTGTCCACTTTTTTTTTTCCTTTTTTTTTGCAACGTTTGTGCACCACCTCCACGTTAACTTCCACCGCCCATTCGAAATAATGAACCCCTTTATTTTTAAAAATGAAATTTTCAACTGTGTCTGCGCAAAATATGATAAGCATCGTTTTGAAGTGCCCCGCGTGGGGGAAAGGAATCCGTCCCTGCATGCCAACCTTTCGGCGAGGGAAGAAAAAAAGGGGAAAAAAAGGGGAAAAAAAAAGAAAAAAAAAAGAAAAAAAAAAGAAAGAAAAACGAAACGAAACAGACGCATTAGGCATACTACGCCTTCATGGAGGGGCAGACCTGTCGCGTGGAAACCCGCCAAAAAGGATCCCACAAAGGGAGGTGGATTGCTTACCCAGGTAGCCGTTTCCAACCTTTGCCCAAAGACATTAATTCGAGAGGCAACTCATCCATGCCATCACCCGAATGGTGAATTTTTTTTTTTTTTCAATTTTATAAGTTCGTTATATGATTTGTTAAAAAGGTGACAAAAAAACAAAAAAAAAAAAAGACAAGGTGATGAAGCGCTATGCAATTTGATCTGCTGAGCGCACCTCTTACTGGGGGGAGGGAAGAAAGGAGTAGGAAAAGTAACAAGTTAGGAGATACCATCCGAGGCGATTTACTTCCTCCTTCTGGTGCTCCTGAGCGGGTACTTCCTGCCACCCTCCTGGGGCACACTACTGTCTACTAACAAATCGCTTCCCGCCTTGCCCCTTTCCGCCTGGATGCTCTTGCTGCCTCGGCTGCTTTTATTTCCACTGGTTCCCTTGTTCGTTTTGGTTTCAGTCTTACTTCGGCTCTGGCCTCTGTTGGCCCCTTTGCTGTCCCCTTTCCTCGTGGCTTCTTTCCCCCTACTGGTTCGGCTCCTAGTTGTTGTCCTCCTTCCCTTCGAAGTCGCCGCGACGTTGCTGCCTTGGGCGTTTCTCGAAGTTTGGCTGTCTACCGACACGGGGTTGCTCTGCAGGGAGCTGTCGTTGGCGGAGTTTGAGGGCACCGAAGATAAGGCGTCCCCCTCCGCGGCCGCCACGGAAGACACATCCGGAGCCAACTGTGGCGGTTCGTTTGGGGCTATCAGCGACGCCTCCTGAGAGGCGATGGGCTCCTCTTCGAGAACAGAGATAAACGCGCCCTCCGCTTCCCCCTGCACCACTGGAGATAATTCCTCCTCCGCTTTCACCTGCACCACTGGAGATTCCTTCTTTTTCTCCTCCTTCCCCTCCTCCTTAATGGCGCGTGCCCGACCCCCCCCGCAGGTGAACAAATCATTTAGAATGAACTTTAAGTTTTCCACCTCCAGCAGAAGCGACTTGCAGTTTTCATCGGAGACACCAATTTCGCGCTCCTTATCTTTGACCAGTTTTTTCAGCCGAGAAATGTCATTTTGATATTCTCTCCCCTTCATTAGATTCTCCTCCACCAACTGGTTGTAGCACTTTTTTGTAAAACTCAGCTCATTGACGACGTTTATGTGAAACGAAAAGAGATCGTTCAATGACTTGAAATTCATTTCTTCCATGTATTTCGTCGTTTCCTCATTTGGGAGATCCTTCCTGTTGTGTGTCTGTCCTTTATCCGTTGTGTGTTCTATTTGGTTCCCTTTTTCACTCTCCAGATGTAAGATTTTCTCCAGAAGTATATTCTTTTCCATTATGACTTGATCAAACAGGAGAGTATCTGTACCGACTGTCTCGACTGTCTCCACTGCATAGGTGTGTTTTATATCTTTTATGACCTCCTTGACGTTTTCTATTTGTTCTTCCCAGTTAACATCACTCAGATCGCGACACAATTCGATCTGTTTTATCGCTTCCTCTATCCTTTCCATGCATCGAGCTACTTGCCTGTTTTTCCTTTCGTACGATTCACACAAAATTTTATAGTGACTTATCTTGTCATCAAAGTATTTGGCTTGCTCTCCCAGCATTTCTATTTTTCCATTAAAATGATTCATCATCAGTTCATTTTCTTTTTCCAGAGCTTCCTTCTCCACCACTGTTTCTACAAACTCATCGTATAGCTCTCCGTACTTCATCGCATCTTTTGATTTGTCTTCCAGTTGGATTTTTTTTCCTTCACTGATCTTCATCGTTGCTTTTTCTTTATCTCTTTGATCCACGAGTGGGGGTAAAGGCAACTCCTTTTTGTCTGGTCCCAATTGGTTCGTCGCCTCGGTTGGGTAGTTCATCCCAGAGGGTACCTCTTTGTTCACTTCTAAGGGATCACTTCTCTCCGTCTGTTCATCCAACTGTTGTCTCATTTTTGTATTCTCTTCCTTCTGCTGTGTTAGTTGCTCTCTTTGCTTCTCAATCTGTGCGAATAACAACGCGCTGGCTTCCTTTTCGGCTTTTAAGTCTTCCTTAATGCCGCTAATTATCTCCTGTTCCTTCTTCAGTTCTGCTCTCAAGCAGTCGCTCACTTGCTTTTCCCCCTCGAGCGAGGAGACTCTATCCCTCTCTTTTTCCAGCTCCCCCTCCAGCGATGCGACTCTGTCTTTCTCTTTCTCGAGCTCCCCCTCCAGCGATGCGACTCTGTCTTTCTCTTTTTCCAGCTCAACCTCCAACGAGTGGCATCTGTCCGTTGAGTCCTCCATCTGCTCCGTCAACGAGATAACTCTGTCTCTTTCTTCCTCTAGTTCTGTCTCAAGTGAGGTTATTTTGTTTCTCTCCCCCTCCAGCTCTGTCTCAAGTGAGGTAACTCTGTCTCTTTCTTCCTCTAGCTCTGTCTCAAGTGAGGTTATTTTGTTTCTCTCCCCCTCCAGTTCTGTCTCAAGTGAGGTAACTCTGTCTCTTTCTTCATCTAGCTCTGTCTCAAGTGAGTTTACTCTGTTCTTTTCCCCGTCCAGCTCTGTCTTAAGTGCGGCTATTATGTCCCTCTCCCCCTTCAGCTCCACATCCAACGAGTGGCTTCCGTCCCTTTCTTCCGCTAGCTCTACCTCTGAGTTACTTTTTTTCTTCTCCTCCTCCAGCCATTCCCTTCTCCCCTTTTCTCCTTGCAACTCTGCCTCCAGCGAACTGCATCTTTTCCTTTCTTCGGCTAGCTCTTCCTCCAATGAGTCACTTCTTTCCTTTTTCCCTTCCAACTCTGCCTCCAACGAGTGGTTTCTGTGCCTTTCTTCCGCTAGCTCTTCCTCCAATGAGTCACTTCTCCCCTTTTCTCCGTCCAACTCTGCCTCCAATGAACTGCATCTTTTCCTTTCTTCGGATAACTCTGCCTCCAATGAGTCACTTCTCCCCTTTTGCGCCTCCAACTCGGACGCCAATTCATCCAGCCTCGCCTTGACCTCGCTGCCCATCTTGCGCTCCTCCTCCATCTGCGAAAACAGCGCGTCGTTCACTAATTCTTCCCTTTCAACATGCACCCTCAGTTCCTCGACATTCACCTTCAGTTCCTCGACCTGCAGACTGAGTTCCTCGCTTCGCTTCCGTTCACTCTCCAGCTGAAACTCCATCTCCATCAGAGCTTCCTTCTGCCTCTCCACTTCCAGACCCAGTTGGGAAGCTAGTCTCTTTTCTCTCTCCAGAAATTCTCCAAACTGAGAATTTTCCTTCTTCACCGTGTCTAATTCTTCCATAAGTTCCTTGATTCCTTGAGTGGGTTCAAGGAGTGGCTGCTTCTCATCTCCCCCCTTCTTCACTGCATCTACTTTAGATGTAATAACTTTATCACACGGATGGGAAGCATTCACATGGGAATTCACGAACTGATCGAAAATTTTCCCAATCATGTGTCTCACCCTATTTATGTTTCCACCATCTTTCGGAGGGGGGGTATCGATCGCAGCGATGGTAGAGATGATTCCTTCCTCATAGGGTAGCTGTCTAATTAGGTCCCCCTTTTTGAAGTCATCGGGGTGGTGGAAGCGGTTTGCGCATTTCTCCCCCTCCGCTGAAGCGTAAAAAGGGGAATTCCCTGCCATACCATGGGCATCACTTGTTACGTTTAATAACTCGGTTTCCTTTCTGCAGATGGATTGATCAATTTCATTCTCATCGAAAGTTTTCTGCTCCATTAGGTGCATGTCTTTTCCATCCTTGGTGGAGAAAAACTCTGCACTTGTTTCCATTTGCACCGTATTGTATAGAACCCTTTCACTGCTTCTAACATTTTTCACATCGGTGCCATTTCTTCTTAAGATGTCTTGCAACCTTTTCACCTCCCAAAGGAGAGTCTCCGTTTGTTTTCCTTCCCTCTTCGCACGAATTCGTAAATCTTCGCTGCTTCTAATTTCGTTTGTTAATATTTTGTTCAGATAGAGGATGATGCTCATCTGGTTCTTGGTGAGGTTAGTTTGCCCGTTTGGGAAGATTTCCAAGGGGGTGTTGTCCTCTGCTCCCTCCTCGTTTGAGTCCTCCCAAAAAGAGCCATCACTGTCATTAGTGGAAGGAAAATGTTCTGTATTTTTAGTTAACCTTGTTCTGCATCTCATATGTGACACTTTCTCTGCATCGTTGTTCAATTGGATCTCTCCTTTCATCTCTGCGCTTGTCTTCCCTTTAGTGGTCCTCCACAGGGGGGAACAGCATCTCTGGTACAGACTCACACGGTTTAGGGCTACTTCATTTTCTTCCTCCCCCTCGAATGGATCCATTCCTGTGAGAATCCCCTTTGCGTTATTCTCCTTCCCCTGAGTGAAACCCCAACTGGATTGACAATGCATAGTGGAGAGTCTCTTTAAATAGGCCAACAGGTCACCGTTGTATTTGCAGAAGTAGAGTTTCCTCACGTCGAAGTTTTGCTTCACCATCTGGTGATTCACTATTTCTATTTTAAATCTGTTTGATTGTTTGTCTCCTCTGTTCTGTGTGAACATGATCTGAATGTTCTCGTCCTCTCGTTCCCATTTTAGGAGAGTCCTGATTATCTTCTTCACGATCGTCATGTCGAAGTGGGCTAAGGTTCCTCTGCGGGGAGATTGGAAGCCACGTTCAGAACCACCTTGAGAAGCACCTTCAGAACAACCTTTTTTGGGCCCTTTCCCTATGCGCGTGTACCCCTTGCAAACGCGAAAAATGCATTTGGCGAATCGGATGGCGAAGTTCTCCTCCTTCTGATACTCACTTATGAGTTTAATGAGCCTCTTCGATTGATTGGACAACTCCTTATCCTCGCAACTTAGGTCAGAAAAATTGTAGCGAAGCAGTTCGGTGCACATGCTAAAGAGAGAATTCATATGAACAGCCAAAATGCAAAATAAATTGTATACGAATTGAATGTCTTCCCTGATCTTCAGTTCGTCCTCCAACTCGTCATCATCTGTAAGGAACTTTCTGTCCAATCCCGATTGTGCTTCATCAGTGGGTACAGTCATCATATAGCCAGCCTTACCGTCATCATTCTGATTAGGCTTTCTTCGCTCGAGAGGATTTTCCGATGTGTTGAGTTGGTTTCCCTTCTTCATTGCACTCTCCCCATCTCGCAAATGACACCTTTTGCCTTGCCCATGATTGAACACAATGCTGGAGACTTTTAGCATTAGAATTTTTTTTCGGGCGAGGCTTTCTCCTCTGATTGTGCTTCCCCGTTGGAGGATCTCATTGGGGGGCATTCGACTGGTGTGAGCAGTGGGTACATCTTTCGCAAGACGCTCGTTTTTCGAAGTGGGTATATCTTGCATAACCCATTTTATGTGCGTGCCCCGAGGTGAATCGTCCCATTCGACGTGCTGCCCTGATGCGAATTGAACAAAATCAGCTTGTAATTGCTCAGGTGAAACACTATTTGTGTTCGCTTGTCTTTCGCATTCGCCTAATTTCATCCTCTTGTTGAAGCTAGAATAATGACCTGAGTCATTCACTTGCTTGTTCTTCCTTTTGTTATCCTGTGGGCTGTTGTCTCCATTTGTCTTTCCCTCGTTGGTGAAGCCCTCTCCGGTAAGCTCATCAGCATTCATCCATGTAGGCTGATTCGCATAATTGGCAGTCCACACGTCCCCCGCATTACTTATGACCTCGTCCCACTGGTCCTTACAACAATTTGCATCCTTCCCGATGAGTGAGAATGTCTGGAGAGGCATTCCCTCTCCGCTTGGTAATCGATTCTTCTCTATCGTTAGTGGTTCCTCTCTTAAGGGGTAAACAAATTCTTCGCCATTGGCTGATGTATCTTTGTGGGTTGCCAAATGGGTTGCAAAGTGGTCTTTCGGGTTGCCATCCGCGTGTCCTGCTCTGTTGTCGTCCACTTTGCCCTCCGCGTGGGGCGCCCCCTGGACCACCTCCACCGCGTGCTTCTCAAAGAAGGCGCACAACTTCGGGGTGTCAAAGAACTCGAGGTGGTTAATTCTGCCCCTAAAGAAGATGCCCCTCTGGGGGGAGTCAGAAACAGGCTCTTCCCCACGCTTGACGGGCTTCTTCCTCCTCTTGGACACAACACATTTCGATCCCGCCTCGTGAAATAAAATTTCGACACACTTAAAGTTGTCAGTCGAGTTACACACGGTTTTTTGGAGGAGGTTTATCTTTCTACAAATGTTTTTTATTTTTTCTCTTTTTTCTCTTTTGAGTCTCCGTCCTTCATCGCCTTTATCGCGCTTCTCGCGCTGTGGGCACGACGCAACAGCTCCCACGCAGTTGCCTTTGGCTCTGCTTTTAAAACTTCGCACTTGGTTCATCTTGGGCACTTCTCGGAGTCTTCACCGTGGTGGCACTCATTGGAATAAGTTGACAGAGGTTCATCCGCGCTGATAGACGTTAAACCCCGTTGACAGGCGTTCAACCGCATTGACAGGCGTTCAACCGGGTTGACAAACATTAACAATTGACAAGTAAACTAATACGAACGTGCAGATCAACGCGGAAAGAAGTAGCCAGATTATTGGGCAGATAACCCCCCAAACAAGTCGCCATGTATATGGGCAGATAAACGCGAAAACAATGGGGCTCCCCAGAAAAAGTGAATCCCACCGCGCAGCTATATATTTTTACTTGCTCACGCAGGGTTGCCACAACTCCGGGGAATAACGTGCCCCATTGTTTTTCTCACTCGACTCCGGCGCGCGTGTAGCAGGACATACTCTCATGTGAAGCGTGTGGGCATGTGCAGACATGGGTATGCATGACCCTTCGCTTGCGTACGAGCACGTACACACGTGAGTGATCACAGACAAATGCTTGGAACATGCAGCAAAACGAATTGCGCGAAAAAGGGCAGCAAAAGGGGTTGCACAAATTGTCGCACAAATAGTTGCAAACTGGCCGCAAAAGGGGTCGTACAAATAGCCTCAATCTTGCGTGATCCCTGAGGGGGCGGCAAAGGTGAAAAAAACAATCGGAAAAAAATGCCAAAATGAAAAAATGTGACAATGAAAACGCGCAAATAGGCAGGTGTAAAAATAGCGATAAAAAGGCAGATCAAATGAAGATAAAAGGCATGTAGTTTCAGATTGACTGCAAATCGATTGCAAACTGATTTCCGGTAAAATGAAGCAGACGCAAACAAAAAGGCAAGCATGAAAATGCGCACTTTTACGAGGGTACATTTTTACGGAGATACATTTTTACAAAGGCGCAATTTCCAGATGGACAAATGCACGGATATGTATACACGCCTTTTTTCGTCTGAACAGGCAAGATGAAAATTGAGTGTACGTTTGAGCCAATGGGATTAAATCTTTAAAAGGTTGGAAATAATCTGTTACAATCTGTTACGATCTGAAGAGTCAATGTCACTCCGTCTGGTAGCAGAACTGTGCTGTTTTGAGAAGCGAGGTCTTACACAACTTTTGCCGGGAATGTTTTTTTGTGTGTGTGTGTATGAATGTATGTTGATACGAGTGCTTTGCACGTGGGGAATTCGTTCACGCAGTCGCCTTTTTTTTTTTTTATATCTCCGTGCAGTTGTGCATTTGGCTAGTTGGTCAGCTGGGCAGCTTTCCCACTGGACGACTCTCCACTTGTCATATTAACCCCGCTTTACAACGCACATACGAATGTACACCCCATTGTTTCCGGCCCAAACGAATTACTACATTAGGAAAAATGGCACCAACTGTTCATGTCAAATCGTGGCGCAGGGCAAATTGGGAGGTAGGAATGGGGCGGAACTACCCCCATCACGCCCACCGCTTTCACCTTGCGGCGTGTTCCAATACAAACGAGGCAACGTTAGTGTGGATGGGGGTGAGTAATCGAACCCCGATTGACATTCCTTCCTCCCGCACCTCTTTCCCCTGATGACCAAGCAGAAAAATTAAATGGGGACCACTAAAGAGGGTTACCCCCCGAAGGTATGCTAACTGCGCGCTAGAGAGCCAGGTTTCCCTGTATGTACACACACGCCGGTTTGTGACCTCATCACAAAGGGGAAAGGCCACTGTGCAACGGTCGTGTTTGAAGTCAGCCAGGTCCATATCATGTGTATGCCGTTATTTATCTTCCACGCCGCCGCTACACACATGAGTGGGGGGAAATCGTGTGCGTGGAAGCTGTGTGTGGGGGGTAACCACTTGGAAGCATACTCCCTTTTTTAGTAAAGTGGTCGGGGTGCCCCGAACAAGTGTCATGGAAAAGGTTTGCACGCAGCGCATATCACTTAATGAAAAAAATTGAGAAACGTGGGGCGAAACATGTAGTGTGCAAAACGCACGCGGAAAAATGCTGACTGGGAAGCCGCATAGGCAAACAAAAACATTTTAACCCAGCTCCGCCGCGACGCGGCTAATCACAACAGGGGTGAACGCCGCGATTTCAAAGAAAAGAAAAAAAGAAAAAAAAAAAAAAAAACACCAACACCAATATGCGCTTTACAGCGAAGCGGAAAACATGTGTCAACCTCTACTTCGTATACATGTGTGGAAGGAAAAAAAAAAAAGCCTGTGCTATCCCCTCACTGGAAGTACTTCTTCAGCTCCTCTTTCTTTATTGTATATTTGACGTTCCTCAGTTTTGCCTTCAAATCTTGTAGCCGCTTAACCTCCGTTTCTGTTAAGGTCTTTTTCGCTTGTAGTTTCAACAGCAGCTGGATTTTCTCTTCCAATTTTTTTTTCTCGATGAGGAGTAACTCCTTCTCTTCTTCCTTCCTGGTCAGGTTGGCATTTTGTCTAAACTTAGATAACTCCTCTTTGCTTAACAAGTAATCCAGAGTGAGATTCTTCTTTTGTACATATTTGTCATTGTACTTGGTGAGCTTATTAAGGATAGCAATTTCTAAATCGTCTGTCTGTTCTTCTTGCTGACCCTCTTGGGGAGAAGAGGCAGAGGATGATGATGATACCGCGTTCTTCTTCATTTGGACGTACAAATATAAGTCGGACGTCTTGACGATGTAGAGTAGGGCGTCTAAATACCTCTGCAGTATATTGAGGTAGTAGTTCTCCTGGTTGGTACCCGTTTGGAGTGTGTCTTGTGATGACCCATTTTGTTGTTTCGTTTTGCTCACGAGAATTAGGCTTTCCAGTAGCTCCGCGAACTGTTGTAGAGAACAGCCAGACAACTTCTTCATTTCGATGTTCTTTCCGACCCCACTTTTTATAAAACTTTTTACAATGGTGTTATCTTCTTTTATGTTCAGGTCATTTAAGAAGGAGAGCGCGTCACTGATCAGGAAACCTGAGCTCTTATCCGCATCCAACTGAAGGAAGTACATTGCTATCTGCTTGTTTAATTTTTCACTCAAGCAAGTCACGAACTTGGAATTACTTTTGCTCATTTTTTCCTCGTAAGTGTAAATGAGGTGAACCAAATCTTTAATGATGCTCTCTTCAGCTTTGGACAGATTCATGTCATTCTGATACACTTTGTACATGACGTATGCTCCGAAGGCGATGCTGAACGGGAACATTATTAACTTCAGTTTGGATTTTTTTTTTTTTTCCCCTATATTTTCTGTAGCTTCAGAATGATCTCCTTCTTTCCCAGTTGCCTCTTTTATTTCTTCACTAAGGGAATCTTTCATCACACTATCGCTATCTACTTCATACTGTTTAGTAGTGTTTTTTTTCTCCTCTGCGCCTTTTCCAGTCTTTTTGCTCTTCGTGCCCGTGGAGAAGGCAACATTCTTTGCCATCATGGTGTGCTGCAATTTGTGTGTCCCTACTCGAAGAATGCCATAACATTCGCCATACGTTCCAAACGCGTGGGAGTTCCCGCTCCAGGTGGCGGAGGAACGGTTTGTGCGGCGAAAAAATGAGGAGTCAGCTGTGAGGTGCCATGTGTAGGGGGAAGCATGGTGCTCAGCGCAGTCGCGTGGGTCGTTGCGAGTGTAGTTTCCAGGGTAACTTCCAGTGTATCTGCCAGCGTAGCTTCGAGTGTGACCCCCTACCGAGCTAACCCCCCTGGCGCCGAGGGGCGCCCCCTCCGTTGGGTTCAACCGCACCAACTGCTGACAGTACTTACCACTGCCATTTCGGCCTCTGCACAGCTGGCCGTGCACGTTTTTTAGCAGCGCGCTGTGCATCTTGGGGGGAGGGGATAGCGGGTACCGGCGGTTGTTACGTGGTGATTACACGGGTGTTATGCAGGGGGTGTGCCAATCCGCTATTCACCGCGCGAGCTGTTTCGCCTCCTCATGAAGCCGTTTTTCTCTCTACTCCCCTCGCACATGTACAGAAAGTGGGACGTTCAAGAGTGCGACGTGTACGTACTCACCGTGCATTTACAAATTTTCCACCCCCCATGAGGTGAAGATCCCAAAAGAAAGGCTTAACTTTCCCGTTCTACTGGTAGAGAAGTGGTAGCAGCGAAGTGGAGACTTCTCCTACCCACAAGGAGGAAAAGTTCCCGCAAAAGGTGTCACTAAGTATGGTATGCCACCTTTGGTAGTTATAGGAAAAGTTTAAAATGGAGGAAGGAGTTGTATACCCCCTAAGCAAGTGCGGAGGTGGCCTTGCCCTTTTAGCATTCTCTTTCAATTTTTTGGCATCATTGTCGGGAGAATACGCAGGGGGAAAAATCCATCTCGTCGCCAGGAGTTGCCCCTTCCTTTAAATGGGTTGCTGCTCGTTAAAATGGGTTATCGCTTGTAAAAAAACTTGTCACCCTTTTTGTCGAAAATTTCCGTTTTAATCTCGCGGGGCGAGAGCAGCTTGCGATCAAGAAGAACTGGAAAAACTAAATTTGGAGAGCGAACAATTTGAAGTTAGCAAGTTGTACAAAGGGCGTGGGAGGAGGAGACTTGCCAAGTGGGGCAAAAAGAAAAAAAAAAAAAAAAAAAATTGACAAGAAAAAGAATCTTCTGAGATGGGAGAAGCACATGACATGCGTGATGGGGAAATTTGGTCAAATTGAGATTGGGGCGACGAGAGCACCCCCGGTGGAGGCGGCGCGGGGCCCATCACACAGTACGCAGATTAAGCACATATTGCCGAAACGGAAATTTAGTTTTGGCCCCAATTTTGAGGTAACTAGGGAAAATTGGAAACGCCTCAAGAGGGTGGAAGAAGCACTCTGCGGGCGTTCGCAAAAAAGCAAGCCAAAGGTGCGTAAAAGTGTCCCCTTTTTTTTTTTATTTTTTTTGCACTTGCGCGAAAGAGAAATTATCACTTTTGCTTCTTTCCAAATTGATTCATAAAAGTGGTCAGTCGCGTTTTGTGTTATCGTGAGCTGCCTTTTTCTTTTTGCCGTGAGCTGCCTTTTTTTTGTTTCCATGAGCTGCCTTTTTTTTGTTTCCATGAGCTGCCGTTTTTTTGTTTCCATGAGCTGCCTTTTTTTTGTTTCCGTGAGCTGCCTTTTTTTTTGTTTCCGTGAGGAGGCCCCCCCCCCCAAGACCACACCGCTGGAGAGTAGTTTTCCACGTTAGACGAGTATTTTGCCCCACCCTGCGCGACAAAATGAAGGGGTCGGCCTAGAGGGGGAAGACAGCTGCATACGAAGGAGCATAAGTGGTGGGGCTGTCGGGGAGTGAACCTGGGGGAGGGAAAAAGGCCAGCCAGACGACAGAGAGAATCCTCCAGAGGGTAAAATCCCCCTCTTCAAAACCCCCAGGGTAAAACACCCTGTTTGCAACTCCAAACGGTGAACCCCCCTGTTTGCAACTTCCCAGGGTACCTCTCCCCCACGCCACAGCGCACCCATGCCGAAACCATGGAAGACGCCAACGACATAATAAAAGAAATTATATACAGGTCCGCCGACGAGTGCAATTACAACAATGAGGAGCTCAATTTCCCTACCGTTATGAAGCACTACTATGACGTGACGCGCAAGTACAGTACGACGGAGCAGCTCTCGGGGGAGATCCTTAACAAGCTAGTCCTTATCTGTAAAAATATAATTGAAGATAAAGTAGGTTGTGAGTACCCCCTAAGGGTGCACCACGAGGAGGAAGAAGAAGGGGAAGAGGAGGATGATGCAGAAGAGGAAGAAGATGGAGAAGACGTGCAGGACGTGGCGCGAGAGGATAGTAGCCCCCTCAGCATGCGGGGGGTCTTTTCCGTCTCGCAAGATGTGTTCCATTACAGACAGTACGGACAGCGCGAACAGTGCGAGCAGTACGAACCGTCCGAACGTTACCACTGCTTGCCGGCTGGGAGGGAATCCGTCGAGGTGTGTCGCGTGCGGCCCCGGTGCGCTCGCGCTTCGCGTGAGGAGAGACCCCCCTACAGGGACAGAATCCCCTACGATGAGTGCTTCCCCTACGGGGAGAGACTCCCCCTTGAGGAGCGCAGCCTCTACGGGCCGCTCAAAATAACCACCCTGAGGAGGAAGGGGCCCGCGGAGGAGACCACGCGGATATGCGAACTGAGTCCACCGAGCCAGTTGAGCATCGTGGCACTGGCGAGCAAGCAAGCAGGGAAGGGGAGCGTCACGAAGTCCAACACAACGAAGTACAGGACGATGAAAGGTGGAACAACCAAGGGCGGATCGACGCAGAACACACTCAAGGGCCATCCCATGAGCAATGTGATGAGCCTGTGCAACGTGGGCACGAGGAGTAGCGGCGACCCGAAGAAAAATGAAAAGTCCTTCATGCACAAGAATAACCGAAATCTGCTTAAAATTTATTTAAATGGAGATTTATTGTGTAACTTGTATGACAAGCTCAGCAAGAAGGTGTGCTGGGGGATCGGCAGTGGTTCCATCGAGACGACGAGTGTCCAGCAGAAAGTGAAGCTCTACAATGAAGGGAACGTGTTCTTTACATTCAAGACGCTGAGCAGGTTTCAAAGACACTGGGTCTCCTACGCCAGGAAGAAGAAGGAGCTGAGGAACAGAGCCGCCAGACATAGCAAAGTGTACAACAGGAAGATACTCGCCAAATTCTACGATCTATGGCTTTATCGACATGAGAAAAAAATGTACATCAAAGGAGTGTTCGAAAAAATGGTGGAAAAGAGGAAGAAAAACCTTCTCCGAAAACAGTACAATGTATGGATGTGCAAATATAGAAAGAAGAAGAAGAAAAATTTTATTTACCTTGTTCATATCTTTAGTGAGTGGAGAACCTACGCAGAGAGGGAGAGGATTTTACAGAGGGCAAAGGAAAAAGTGGAAAAAAAATTCCTCATCTGGAAAGAACGATACAGAAGGAAATTAGAAAAAAAAAAAAAAAACGAGCAAATACAGAGTGTCTACAATAAAAATCTGCTGATCAAGTGCTACGTCCATTTCTCTTTGTACCATAAGAAGAGAAAGAAAGAAAGACAATCGTTCCGTGTGGTTAGTCTCCACACAAGGGAGAAGTTGTCCCAGCTGTACTTCTCCCTCCTGGTCAGTCGATACAAAGAAGAAGTGCACTTTAAGGAGTACTATTCTAGGTACCTTAAAAAGGTAAAAAAATCCCATTTGAAGAAATTTTTTGCCATCTTAAGGGGATATGTCCAAAGGAGCAGGAACGTCAAGAGGACGTACAACCTGCTGGCACGGCAGACTAGTACAAAGACGCTTAGTATACATTTTACCAAATGGCTTTTTACCCTACAAGAGGAGAGACGAATCAGCAGCATGCTCAGCAAGCACCTCGAAAGAAGGTCCCATTCTTTGCAGAAAAAATTTTTACACATTTTGAGAAAACACAAAGATAAATCATTCAGTCTGAAGAAGACGTTTCTAATTCTCTATGAGAGAAGGAACCGACTGGAACTGCTTCGTACCTTCCAGCAGTGGAAGAAGCGGTACACCATCAATGCAACGCAGTATATCCTTCTGCACAGTAAATATAAATATAAGCTAATCATTAGATGCTTCTCTCTTCTACGAGATTATGCGAATTACAGGAAGAGGAGGAAGGACTCCATTCAAGAGATGCATCGCTACTTCGTCAGCCGGGTGAAGAAGCGAAGTGTGTCGAGATGGATGGACTATGTGCGCCTCTACAAAAGGGACATCCTCCATTACTACCATTTTAACGACCAAGGGAATTTCTTCATCCTCTTTATGTTGAAGTCTCTCCTCCAGTGTTGTCGCTTACTCTCTCCAGAAAGAAACGGGAAAACTCTCCTCGACATTGTCAACTTTTCCAACCTAAATTTTAACCTGAACAATTTTGTCTTCATCCATAAGAAGTACCTCGTGGGGAAGCGTCTCCTTCCGAACGTTGGGACTTTGTACGACAATGCCATGTTCGTCTACAGATCTCTTAACATCATTTCCTCCTTCGTCCCCGCCCCGTTCCCCGTCAACCTGCGCAAGCTGCGCCACAATTTGCCCTACCTCTGCTTCGCGCTCAAGATGGTAAGTGGGTCTGGGAAGCGGATCTGTCAATCGGACCTGTATATCTCATCTCTGAAGCGACATGTGCATGGGTACCCCCCGCCATTCTCCTGGCCGTTGCACCGCACCACATCGCTTCCTTCCACCACTTCCCCCCTCGCAGGCAATTTACAAACGCGTCGTAGACACCTGGCGCAACGAATGCATGCGCGTCAAGCGGTTCAGGGCGGAGTGCAGCATGAAGCTCCAAAGGGGCTGTCTCTCCCACTTGAGGGGTCTCGTGAAGAAGAAGAAAGCCCTCCAGGAGGCGAGAAAGAGGTACGACCAAGAAAGGAAGATCCAGATGAAAAGTAAAATCTTCTCCACCTGGTTGTCCCTCCGAATGAAATACTACACCTTCCGCAAAAAGTTCCAATATTATGGCCTCCGAAATAGGGAGAAAAAAATGAAAAAAATTATACAAGGCTGGATAAGTATAACCAGACAAAGGAAGGAAAAAAAACAAAATATTCTGTTCTTCTTCAAATCGGTACTCATGAGAAAGAAGAAGAAGCATTTCGACTGTCTACTCCGACATGCACACAGAAGGAGAAAAAAAAAAGTTAAGGAGAAAATTGCCAAACTGTACTACGTGCGCAAATACAAGAGTAGAGCCTTCAAGGCTCTCTACGTCTACTCCAAGAACATTCTTTTTTTTAATGCACTGAATAGAATTGCCGAGTCATACTTGAAGCAGATGTGCGTTCGAAGGTGGAGACACCTGACAAGGGCATTCCTGGACAGACGCCAAGAAATGAGGGCCGCTCTCTCCCAGCTGGACTTGAAAGTGAAGCATCGCTTCTTCAACATCTTCTTTATCTACGTGCGATTGCGGCGTATGAAGCGCAGGAAGGTAGCTTTTCCGAGCGTGAGAAGCGGCGCTTCCACGCGGTAGCATGCACTCCGCAGCCGCAACCGCATTGTGAGCGTCGCAACGACAAAACCTTGCTGTGCAAACGTATGCACGATACACCTCCATCGCGCACCTCCACCCTCCAGATGGCCCACCTGAGGCGCGTCCAGGCGAAGCTCCTAGCCCAGAAGTTTCTCAACCAGTGGAAGAGATACGTCCAAATACGAAGGAAGAAGGAGGCGTTTCTCTCCAACATGATAAGCCTCTTCAGCAGGTATTTTGACGAAGCAGAAGGGAGGGGGACTGTTTTCGCGGCTCCACCTCGGAGAAGCAGTACAGATCGGATACCTAGCTAATCCGTGTAGGTGCCTCCTCGCGGATACACACCCCATTGGATGCATTTCTCTCACTTTCGCAGGAAGAAGAAGCTGAAGGTTATTAGCAAATGGTACACGCGTTTCATACTGAGCGTGCGCTTTAAGGAGACGGAGAGAATCCTGTCGAGGAAGGTGTTCCTGGTTTACTTCTCCGGTCTGCTGCTCTACAGTCAGAAGATGAAGCGGGTAACTTTTCAGAGGAGCTGCATCCACGTGTGATCCATTGTTCTGTGTGTGTGTGATACATAATTCTGTGTGTGTGTGATACATAGTTCTGTGTGTGTGTGATACATAGTTCTGTGTGTGTGTGATACATAGTTATGTGTGTGTGTGTCACCCTATGGGCGCATTCACATCGAAAAAAAGAAAAAAACAAAGACATAACGTTAACGCTGCTCCCCTTTTCGCCTTGTCCTTTCGTTCCCGTCCCCCCCCAAAGATGGAACTTTTCCTGAGGAGCCGCACCAACGTGGTAACCTGCCAGAGGATGCTGAAGAAATGGAGGAGACAAGCCAAACTGGAGATAAAGAAAAAGAGAATAATAGACAGAAGACTAGCAGCGATGAAATGGAAGTACTACACAGAGTGGAAGAATAAGTACCAAAAAGTAAGGGGAAAAAAAAAAGACGAAATTAAAATACAATCATTTAGGCATATAGGAAATGTTAATACACTACGAAAGGTTACCCACATATGGAGAATCAAATGCGAACAGTCTAGGAACATTAAACGTCTTATCTATGCGACAAGCACCTTTGTAATTAGAAAATGCAAGAGTGAAGCGTTTTTCGCAGTGTACAGGTGTAGCCACCACTACGTTAACATACAAGTCACGCTTACCAACCTTTTAGTAGAGAAGAAAGACAAAATGAAAAGAAAAATCTGGGATATTTTAAAACGTAATCGGATCAATCGAGTTAGCAACAGAAAGGCCACCAATTTCTTATGTTCCATCCTAAAATTGAGAGCTTTCTCAGCATTCCAGCTATACCGAGAGAGACAAATTGCATTCAGGAGGGGATCCCACTTGGTCAGCCTCAACCGGAAAAGAAAATACTTCAACGCCATGCTCCACTTTTTTGAGTTTATCAAAAGGGCGAAATTCAGTTTTTATTCCATTAGGGTTAATGGGGAGAGTAGACTACGGCGCCATTTCTTCCTCGTCTGGTAAGGCGTCCATTTTGGCGGTACACAAAGGGGTGATGTTTAGGTGTAGTCCTCCCTCTCTGCTGTGTTCGCGTATTGGGGGCTTCTTATCTGTGCTTCACACCTCGATTTCTCTATTCTGAGTGGACCCCCTTCTTAACGGCACCCCATCACCACCCCGTTATGCCTCTTTTCCACCCCCCCCTCAGGATGTCCTTTCTAACGAAGCGCAAGCAAGAGAGGAAGACCTCCCGCATAATACAGAGACAAAGAGCGAACAGAATAAAGGGGGCTATCTTTTTTCAAATTAAGAGGAGACTCAATAGGAAGAGGTACCTGACGCTTCTACTACACAGGATGGATGATCTCATCAAAGTGAAGATGTATCACCAGGGTCTATACAAAATCAGAGCCTATAGGAAGATCACGATCATACAGGAGGTTCGCATGGGAGGAGCTTCTTCCTCATGGGGAGCAATCAACCAATGAGTTACCTCAATCAATTACCTCAACCAATAAGTTAGGCCAATCTATACGTTACATCGATAAATAAATTCCCTTCTTTTTCACCCCTCCCCCACATACCCCCTGTGTAGAAAATCCTATCCAAGCTGCAAAAAGACAGACATGAAAAAACGCTGAGCAAAGCCTTCAAATCATTCAAGGATAGACTAGCCAAGAGGAAAAGTACTCAAGTGGAAAAGGACATGATCACTCGTTTCTACTCCAAATGGATAAAGAGAAAATATTTTCGTCTCATGTCTCAGCGGTCACGCGCTTTGTCCATAAGGAGGGATGCAATCCTGCGCAGAGCAGATACAAACCGCGTCTTGAACTTTCGAAAGAAGCATTTCCTTTCGTGGAAGGCTTTCGTTAAGAGGAAAAGACTCCACAAGGAGCTTCACAATACGGTGAAACTACAGAAGAAAGCTCGTGTCTTCATTACGCTGCTACACGTGAGGGCTCATAATTGCTACAATAAGGTAGCCCTAGTGCATAGGATACACGCGCTGGTTTACTCCCCCCGGTATAGCATCCCCGCCTTTGAGGAGATCCTCGATTGGGGGCACGCCACCCTGAGAGTGGATCCCAAACGGAGCCATTACCGATCCGTGGATAGTCTCCTTTGTGTCCATCCGCGGAGTTACAATGGAAGAGATTCATCCGAGTTGAATTTCACATCCGAAGGAAGTGATGGACGTAGTGGAAGTGGTGAAAGTGGAGAAAATGCTCAACGTGGTGAACGTGCTCAACGTGACAGACGCAGCGAAAGCGAACGGCACGACAATCTCCGAGATGGCGTGACCATCGGAGACAGGCTATCCACCTGGAACACACACCAACAAGTTAACACACTCATTGCGATGAACCGAATGCATATACAGATCGGACGCAGAGAAAAGAAAAACTACCCCTGCAGGGGAAAACCATCCAGGAGAAAGAAGAACCATTTTTACAGCTACCAAAAGGTATGCTACTCTCTAAAAAACAGTCCCATGAACAGACTAATAATTTTGTACCTTCTCATGTGTGACCTGCACGACATCAATACCTTTTTCGACCACTTCAAGAAGAAGTTCAATTTGTTATATCACTTTTTTTTCAACTTCCTATCCCTCAAAACGAAGAAGTTGCTATTGAAGGTTTTCAAAAAAAATCGCAGTCTTAGTTTTTTCCAGGCTGTTCATACAAAGGATGTTGATTTGAATACCAACTTTAAACTGTTGTTGCTGATTTACTACCTGCTGGGGGGATCTGTTCCCCCTGGGGAGGGTTCACACGAAAGCAGGGCTCTCCAGATTCTCGCCGCCACGCGCGCCTTCCTCGGAGGGGCGCAGAGAGGGGCGGGATGGGAGAAGGCGGTCAACAAGGTCAGAACTGCTAACGCGGGCGACGCGGGCAACGCGGACAAAGCTGCAAACCCTGCTAACCAGACACACACTGCAGACGAGGCCTTCCCCCTAGGGGGAGGCAGATTCTCAACTCCAAGCAGCAGCGAAGGAGACACGTCCCTCTCCTCGCAGAGCTCGCGAAGTGGAGCCTCCTGCTCCATGGGAATGAACAGAACTATTCGGTGCACCACGCATCTGAGGCGACTAACGCGCGGCGCCCTGCAAAGGAGCATACTCGATTTTGTGAAAGCCTTAAAGACTGGAATAACAAGCCGTTTTAGAGAAACCACCCTAAGTGTGCACTTCTCCCTAATGTGCTGCATACGTAAAGAGAAGCTAATCCAAGTGCACCTCTTCTTTAGCAGACTGAAAAGATGCACGCAGTGGTGGAAGCAGTACAGTGTCGTGAAGAGCCAACATAAGAAGGAGGACAGCAAAAGAGTATCCACTTTGGAGAAAAAAAAAAAAAGCGAACTGTTAGAAAAATTTTTTGGCATATGGGTTCTATCCTTCAACTGGAAGGTGAAAGAAATAAAGACGAAAAGAAAGCAGGTTTTGAAGAAACACATCCGATTGTTGTTTTGCTACTGGCATGGGCTGATAAAAGTGGGGAACTACGACAAGGCGAAATTTCTTCAACTGAAAGAGCAAGTCGAGAGGAGGGTGAAGAAGGAGTATCTAGACAGGTTCATATTTTCCCATATTTCGAAGAAGAGTGAAAGACGGAACTTCTCCATTGTAATGAAACACAGCAATGAAAAGAGAAAGAAAACATTCTTCTACGTCTGGTTGTTACTGTACCGATATGAACAAAAGGGATGTCTCGTCCGCTCGCGTATGCAAAGGAGAGTACTCAGATGCCACTTTGACTCCTGGCTTGGCATTTACGCGAAGAAACAGATATATCTGCTCCTCATTCGGACGCTCAATGAGCATTTGTTTAGGAAGATCTTCGCCCACGTGGTGCACAAATTTAAGTACTACAGTTTTATTAAAGGGAGAGCGATCTCCACTCTTAAGAGGTGCTTCCTCGTGCACTACAATCTAGTTAAGCGGAACATAACGATTGCGAAGCTGCAGCTTTATATTTGTGCCTCCGTCCGGTTTACCCAAATGAAGCACCTGTTTGGGCTCTGGAGTGACAAACACAGGAAGAGAAAAAACTGTAGAGAGAGCTACCACATCGTTATGAAAAAGAGAAAACGCGTCTTTTTCCACAAGTGGGTAAAGCACTTCCTCGATAATAGCAAACAGAATGAAGAGAAAATAAAAAAGTGGGAGTCCTTTTTCATAAAGAGGTTCTTCTCAAAATGGATGACGCATCACCATTACAAGAAGGTGAAAAGAAGGAGAAAAAAAAACATCCTACAATTTTATTTTAGCCATTTGAGAAAAACATTCCAGGTGCGCGTGTCACTTAGGGAATACACTAGAAAGGTACAACTCGGAGTGAAGAGAAAAATCTTTTCCATCCTACGGGAGAACAAAATAGTGAGGGTAAACAAGAGACGGATCAATCTGTACTGTCATCAGTTCCGTGGGAAGACCCTCTTACGGAGGTACTACTCCTTCTGGACTAATCATTACTTAACGTGTAAACATGTGAAGAGCGTCACGTGCCGGCTAACTCTCCTAAGGGACACCCACTTGCTGCGCGGCAGCCTGAACGGGTGGCTACTGCACACACGGAGGAAGAAAAAACTGCAGGAAATTCACGACATAATAAAGTTTGAAAGAAACAGAGCAGTAGAAGCGGTATTCAAACGGTGGAGAAGTCTGTACCTATTTGTCACACGAAGGAGGAAGCGATCTATACAGAAGTTTTTCCTCACTTGGATTCACAATTTTAAATTTTGTCTCTTCATAAACCGATTAAATGTCTATGTGTGTAACATCTATACGAGGAATATCTTCTGCTTCTACTTCGACCTGCGAAACATGAGTGAGAAGTACAATCGCCTCGCGCGGGGAGACTTCCCCTTTGTGAAAGAACAGATAGGTTATGCACTCGCCTGCAGAACGGAGCTATTATCCTCCGGATTTAATGCCCTCCGCGTGTATGCACGTCACTGCAAAGAGGTGAGAATGAAATTAGAGAGTTTTAGAAAAGAACAGGAACGGAGATTGAAGAAACGTCATTTTACTTCACTCCTAACCCATAAAAAGAAGAAGAAAAAAAAAATGAACCTACACAATCTGCTCCTCAAGTACACAATAGAGAGGAAGTTTCACAAATGCAGGACAATCTTCTTCATTCTCACCAATCTGTTTTTTTATAACAACCACTTGCGTCTCTGTGAAAGGACCATCCAGTGCCGAAGAGAGAAGAGGGCCCTGCTGGACTGCCTAAACAAGTGGACTCGCTTTAAAAATTACTCCAAAGAGAATGAGTACCTCCAAAATCTGAGCGATGATTTCCTAACGTATAGAAGAAAATCTGAATTTATCATTTCTCTGAAACATTTCTATGTTGAGCGCAAGTGGATGAATTACTGCGAGTATAACTCACTGGTTTACTACAAAAGTGTGCAGGAGAAGATGGCAGCTCGGATGATTAGCCACTGGCATGGACAGTCCGTCCTTGCGCGGAGGTTGGCGGACAGGGGTCACCAATTCAAAGAAAGACACAATCGTAATGTTGTGAAGAAATTTTTCTTCCTACTCATCTTTTCCATTAACAAAATCAAGATAGAGAAAAAAAACTTCGACATCGTCCGCTTTAAGAGAGAGAAAATAATTAAACACAACATCATCAGTTTGATGCGGAGCACCGCCTTGACGTCTTCTAACAAATTGGATCTGATCGATAAAACGCTAAGACGAAGAAGGGAGGCACACTTGCTTAGGACGTATGGACTTCCCTTTCTTCGACTCCTCACCAAGAAGAAGAACCTCCGCAAAGCCCTCTTCGATACCAAACGAAGGAACGACGCCGCCATCGCCAAAAAGTATTTCTACTCCCTCATTTTTAAATACGTCACCAATGTGAATCACTACAAGTACTACTACTATAATAAGTATCTGTCCCTATGGAAGTACTACGTGGTGATGGGCGGCACGAGGGAGCACCAGTCACACGGGGGAGACGCATGCAGCGGAGAGACAGGCAGCAGAGACACACAAAGGGGAAAAACACACGGAGAAGACCCAGACGATGAGCTCTCCGATAATCCATCAGATAAACCCTCAGATAACCCCTCCCACGACGGCAAATCGGACGACAGTAAATCGGACGACTCCTCCGAATACACCCTGACCTCCGCACTGGGCCTGCGCAAAGGGGACTCAAAGGGGGGGAAAGGAGACCTACAAGAATATGCCAACCTGGACTCTATTAACAGCTCCATCGCGTCCTCCGAAACGAAGGAGGAAAGCGACACGTCGAACGTTGCCGCAGTGGAAGGGGCGAAGATGTGAGGCGGGCATTACCAGGACGGGCAGGCTACCCGCGGAGCGCTGTGTAAACGTGTTTACACATGTCTCTGTCCGATTGTTGTGTTTTTTCTTTTTCTTTTTTTGTTGTTTCGTTCTTCTCCCTCGTTTGTACCTCTTCTTTTAGGCCTGCTTCTACTGTTTCGTCTAACCCTCATTCTACCCCTCCTCCTAACCCCTCTTGCCCCATTTCGATTGTTTCACCGAACACACCTCCTTTTGTCGACTGTGCTCACATGTATGTCATTCCCTATCTCACTCCTTATGATGTAAACCTATTTTTTTTTAATTTTTGGCATGAACAAGAATTTTCTTACCCCGTAGAGAGGGGTACCTCTTATGGGTTGGACGGTGTCCGTCCCTCCCTTTTTAACCGGCTACTTGGCCAACCACATAGCACGGAAATGCAATCAGCACAGTTACGCGCGATGTGTGCACCACAGAGAGTTTTCTTTCCCAGAAGGAAGTGTCTGTGTCACCTCAGAGGTGATCCCATTTTGAGTAATCATCTGGCGAAGCCTATTTCGGGTGAGACAACCCCCCCGATAGTGCTTTTCTCTTCATCCGTTCCTTTTTGCACTTAACGTGGGAATTAAACCCTTTACAAAGAAAAAAAAAAAAAAAAAAAAAATTCGCGAGGATCCCCAACGTTAGCAAGTTTTCCGCACGAAATGGCTATCCTCTTGTGTTCTTATTTCGCTACACAGAAAAAGGCGAACCAGGGGGAGGGGACGGTCTATTTGCTGTTTTGTTCTTTTTCTTCCTGCTACGGGGTCACCATCCGACTACAAACATTTTACGGTATTATATTGTATTATATTACATTATATTTTTTTTTCTTTTCTTTTATTTTTTCCCCCTCCATTTGCTACCTATCACATTCACTCTCCCGGTACGAAATGGGTAGTCCCCCTCCCCAGGGACACTTATCCGCGTATTCTTGGTGTCTCCATTTGGTTTAGCTCCTACGGAATGGCAAAACATGGCGCATGTGCATGCAGATAAGTATGCGTGACGAGGGGCCACCTACACTGCTGAGGGGCTACATGTGAGAAGAATAAACACCCATGTAGGGAGTTATGCATGACGGAAAAAAAAAGAAACACAGTGTGCGAACGGTCAAAAGAATAAGGAAACTTGCCAAGGGGAAAGGGAAGATTTTCAAACGGAGTAGTGTGTAACTTGCTCAGTTTGTAACTGTAGAACAGCTCCTGCACAGGTTATGCGTTTTTTTTTTTTTTTTTCTCAGCACATTCTTCAACTCATGCAAATGGAACAAGAAAAAATTACTAAGGCGTTCGGTATAAGGACCCTTTTCGCCGCGTGCAAATGGCCAAACTGTTTTGTCCCCTTGGGAACACTCCCGCGTTTTGCGCAACTGGCTTACGCGATGTAGATTTTTTTTTTTCCCTCTACACATTTCGCGAGACTTTTGTTTTATTCATTCGTTCATTCGTCCTATGGTTTGTCGGTTTGATCTTTTGCATGTGCAGCTGTTTTATCGCACGATTGCGGTAACCCGTGGACGAATCCTTTTTTTTTTTTTTTTTACCTACCTTTCTGCCTGGGGAAAACGAGTAGGCCACATTGACCTGAAAGTGTGCAGGTGTCTGCAAACGTGTGGGTAATGTTTCTGCGCGAGTTATCGGGCGCACAATTGTCGAACTTGCATCCGTCTAGCGGCAAGTAGAGTGGCGAGCCACGTGGAATGGGCCAACCGGATGGGGGGTTCATCGTAAGAGGGCTGCATTGATACGTGTAGAATTTCACAGCAGTTACTCCTTCGAAGCGACCCCTTCGACCTGACACCTCTGATGTGACACTTTTTACGTGTCCCCTTCGATGTGACCCCTTTGATGTGACCCCTCTGCTGTAGTCACCCCTGTGCATCCCTAAAGGGAAGGGGAACCAGCTCCAGCCTAACCCAGACACTGTCTATCTGTATATGTGTGATTATAAAAATATTTGTATATTTTCCTTCCCATTTGCATTCCATGCGTTAAGGCGTACCTGCTCACAGGTGCACAGGTCAGTCCTTCGTCTGAACCACAGTTGGGGGCCCCTTCGGCTGTCGACTCCGACGAGTGCAGACAACATACACCCATGTAGAACCACCAGAAGGGGTGGTCCTTGATCAACATTTCCATCAGGTGTTATAATCCACATTGTATTTCTGTGACTAAGTTTGTGACGGCACGTGTCTTGTCGACCTCCAAGGGATGCTCCTTTGTCAGCGTGGGGAGTAATCATGCCACTGATTGAGGAACCATTGTTCTCTTTGCTACACTGTTTTTTTCTAGATCCCCCCCAATTGCGCCTTCTTAATTTAATTGTGTTATATTAACCCAAGTGGAAGTAATTTTTCTTTTTAGCTGTGGGGAGGGAGGAGGAGGAGGAAAAAACTGGAGGAGGACTCCTTCCACCCGAGACTGGGGGCTACAGAGAAGCTACGCAGGAGATGCACAAGAGATACACCCGGATCATTTCCCAATTTGTGTTACGTACGTTAACTTGGCTTCGCCCCATTTGTCTTCACTCTATTTGAGGAAGCATCGACTCAGCACTGACATGTGAGCGCCCTCTCTAGGATACCCCCCCCCAGGCGACACAGAATAGAGAGAAGGCAGTCCCCCAAACGACAGTACGGTGCAGTGAGGACAACCAAACGAAGCATAGAACCGCCAATCACAGAGGAACAGAAACCATGGGAAAACAGAAAGATCCCATCAAAGTGAAAATACACAGCGGCAGAAGGGTCCAGAACAGTTCAAAACTCACGAAGGAGCAGCGAGTAGCACACATACTCTTAAAGGAAGGGATAGACTACGTCGAGAATGGAAAATTAGAAACAATAAGAAATGATGAGTACCTGAGGACGATGCTTTTTGATTATGCTAATCAGGACAGATGGGAGGACGATGAGGAAAGGCACCTCAAATTGGTGCGACTTCATCACAGCAGCAGTGAGAGAGCTACATGTCGGACAAATGGAGAGTCCACTTCCTGCAAAGAGGTACACCTCAAACGGAAGGAGGGAAACAGAACGAAGGTGTGTATTCCCCCTCATAAACACAACAAGGGTAATCAAGGAGAGGGGAAAATAAATGGCATTGCAATCACTCCAACTGTAAGAACCCACAATGAAATGATTTTTAAACGACGCTTTATCGACAAGCGAACAATAAGTAAAATGAAGAAAGTGAGTAAGAAGACGCCTTATGGTTACCATCGGCGGGGAAAACTTCCACTCAAGTTGGAAAAGAGAACCATATCTGAGATGAATCGAAGAGGAGGCGGTAGTGGGTCACCCCAAAACAGGAGTCGACACAGCTTCTCCAATGAACCTGCAGATGGAGCGCTAATGAAGACCACTTGGTACTCACAATGTCGGGAGAAGTTCATCCAGGTGGGAAGAAAATCGGAGGATCTCAAGCCAAGTAAACGAAGAACCCATTTTTCTCCCTTCCAAAAAGGGACAATAGCTACCCATAAGGAAGGACCTCTCCCCATTGGAGAAATGAACAACCAATTTGTAAAAATTCACTTTAACGAGTTCAATTCCATCGGTATGGCTAGAGAAGATCTGCTTACCTCCATCGGCGTAGACAGTCTCCTTACTGCCAACACACGAAAGTCATTCTCCTGCGCGCATAGCGTTTCGACGCCCTTTTACGGCACTGGTTTTCTCCCCTGTGCTGAACTGGACCACCAGGGAAATTGTCCGGATAATGCGGTGACGCAGGGCTACGGCAGAGAAGGGGGGGAAAGCCCATTGGGGGAAAGGCAAACGGGTGGATTGTTATCAAGGAAGAATAAAATAAAGGAGGACTTCACGAGTAAAGAAAAGGAGAGAAGGAAACTCTCCAGAGAACCACACCGAGACGGAGCCAATCACAGGGACCGCCCCCCCTGCTCGAACGCGACCCCCCCAAAGGACGGAATGTGCCACAAGGTAGACGCGCTCTTCTGCAGATCCAGAGACAGAGACCTCTTCAACGAGCGCAATAACGAAATAATGGTGAAGGGGCAAGGCGAAGAGCATCAGCGAGGACGAGGCGCTTCGATCAGAGAAGAGGTCGCGATGGAGGGGCCCAACATGGACGTATCCTTTGACAGCGATTTGAAGGGCGTCCCAATTGTCGTCCCCGACTTGAAGGCCCACGCTTTCCAGGCGGGCACGGTGCTGAGCAAGGGGAACTCTGGGGGGAGGCAGCACCGGCGCGGCGCCAGGAGGGAGCAGCAGATGCAGGGGATGGAGAAGAAGATGCAAAAAGGGAAGCAAGCGGAGCAGATGAAGCAGACGGAGCAAACGAAGCAGATGAAGCAGACGGAGCAAACGAAGCAGATGAAGCAGACGGAGCAAACGAAGCAGACGACGCAACTGCACGTGGGAGAGGCGGGTCAGACGGATCGGCCGAACCAGGAGAAATCCACCGACAACGTGGACAAAACGAAGGCAAAGCTAGACCAACTAACAGACATGGAGAACCGTCGCGACATGGAAAACGCTTACGTGAAGTACATTTACAAACGAGACCAATCAGAGGAGGCCCCCGCAGAGAAGCCAGACCGATATGTCACTTTTGGAAGCGAAGAAAATGATACAGTGAACATTGCAGATATATCAGACAAAAGAAAAAACACAAGAAGAACGTACAGAGACCAGATAAGCAGTGGAATCAATCTAAGACACGCACAAGTTGAAAGAAATATCCACGGATTTGGGGAAACATTAAAATACATGAAGTACAGAGAGCTGCTGAGGAAGTATATGGGGACCTTCTACAACTACAGCTCAGTGAAATGCGCAACGTACATCATCCTGTATGCCATAATAGTAAAAATAATAACACAAGTATCGAAGAATTTAACCACATCCAGTGGTGGTCTTCCTAGTGAGAAATCAAATGAATACAATGTTCTTTGGTACAGTGATTCGAATTTATTTCTTAACGTGCACGATGTGGATGGGATCATTCAATCCGTTTGCTATGTGGCTCTGCTGATCTGTATCGTCCTCTTGTTAAAGTTGGGCATCCCATCGAATTATTTGCTGGTGGGGAGACTAACCATTCTATTTATGTTCCTCTTCTTTGCTCAAATCCCAATTATGATTTACGCCAATTTTATGACTCTGAAAAAGGAGCAAGGGATTGCCAAGGAACAAGCGAAAACGTTCGATAAGAAGGACTACTTCAATCTGCATATGCAGAGAGTCTACGACGTCTTTTACCTCGACACGCTGAACTTACTAGTGTACACCATTCTACTAAGTTTCGTTTCTTTGTATGCCACTTATCATAAGCTGATTTATCCCCATTTGCTGAAATTTTACCTCGACACAATTTTTTTGAGCTCCTACACCATAATTAAGAAAGAAGTCATTCAGTTCAGAGTGCCAAACAACATCGATGCGTATTACCTCAATCAGATGAATAGCTACCTGTTTAATTCGCTTTATAAAAAACAGGAGGATCTGACGCAGGATGATTTGGAGAGTAATACGAGGAGTGCCATTGGATACAACATTGTCATTAAGAAGGAACGCTGCTCCTGGTTTATGTGTCTCTTCGGATGGAATGGGTCCGACTCGGCGTTGAACCAGGAGGGGCGCCACGGCAAGGGGGGCGCCAACGGCAGAAGTGCTCAACGCGGGAGAGGTGCTGCAACAAGACCAAATGCTCCAACCGATGGAAGCTTTAGGCCTACCTGTGGGTTGAGACGGCCCGCCCAGTCGAACGCGCGCACCAAGTTGAATCTAAATTTCTATATCATCTTCTACATCGGAGAGCTGGACGAGCAGGGAAGACCCCACGGGTTCGGCTACTGGCGGGGGATCAACTTAGAGGGCGAAGTGCTCATCGGATACTGGTTCCACGGCATCCCCGTCGGCCCCTTCAAGTGCCGCGACTTCAAGACGGGCTCGGGGTTCATGTGCATAAAGATTGGCTACGGGCGGACTAACTGCGAGCCGAACGACTTGGACATAGGTGCGCAAAGGAGAGTTGAAGGGGAGCGGAAGGGAGAGCGGAAAGGAGAGAGGAAAGACGAGCTGCCATTCGAGATGATGAGAAATCACAAATGCGATCGGATCGCCTGCTTGCCCTTACACACGCGGACGTTATATCTATATGTGCGCATTCACACCACCGCCTCCCACCCAATTGCAGGTCTAGCCGACACCGAGTGCTGCGTCAGCGGAGCCTTCTACAGGACCTTCCCCAGAGTGGTATTATACGACCTCAATTTAACGACCCCCCACTTCAGAAGCAAAAAAAATGATCAAGGCAAACACGGAATTATGGAAAAGAGGGAGTGCTGCGAGTATCTGCACATCAGCAGAGCCAGCAACGATATTCTGCGCGTAGACTACGCCAAGCTTCTACAACACAATGAGGATGATCGAGAAGGAGAAGCTGACACCGTCAGGAAAGACATCAGGCCAGGTGAGCAGCAAGCATTTGACCGCCATAGCCACCTCGATGAGAACAATTATGAGGGACTAAGCAGTAGCAGAATAATGGGAAGAATAGGAAGAACAGGAAGGAGAGGAATAAAAGCAACAAAAGGAACAAAAGGAACAGAAGGAACAGACGGAACAGGCGAAAGAAGGTTTATCAGTCCCTCCAGCAAAGAGGAACATAGAAAGAGATCCATCTGCAGATCCACCATGACGTACGATGAGATCCTCCCCTCCATCGTTAAGAATGAATCATTCCTAAAAGGGGAGTTACTAAATTATCATGACATTTGCAACCTGAGTTACGATTTTAAGGATTTGACTCTGGATAATGAAACGCATTCCGTGGTGAATAAGAAGCTGGAGGCAAGCTATGATCTGGCGGAAGAGGAGGAGAAGAAGAAGAAGAACGACGACGACGACGAAGAAGAGGAAGCGGAAGAGCAGTGGAGAGTTAGACAGCGCGCCCCTGATGAGCCCTCCGCCTTTCCGGAGAGATATCTCCCTCGGGATTCACCACCAGTATCGCCCTCGTCGTTTTCGTCTTCGCTATTTTTTCCGTCTTGTCCCTCTTTGCCTCACTCCTCTTCTTCACACTCTTCATCCGATCCATCCTCTTCACCAACTTCATCTTCTTCGTCGCCTTCTTCCACCCCCCCTTGCGCCTCTTTCGACGCGAAGGAAATCCCAACCCTGTTGGACGAAGGAGAGACACACGTCACCGATGTCGAGAACCCCCCGCGTGCTGAAATGGGTGCAACCAAATTGAGCCAAGGGAGGCACTGTGGGCATAGAGCCGGAACACCAGTTGACTATGTCAGCCAGGGAAGGGACCACACACGGGTACACAAAAAGGAGAAGCATAGGAGGAGAAAAAAAATATTGCCAAGTGGAAAAATGGAGAAGGGTAGAGAAAGTAAGGAGGAGGACGCCCACACCTCGGAAGAGGAGAAACTGTCTCGAAGGTGGAACAATCGCGCTGGGAATGATAGCTTCCGTGAGTGCGAATTGGGGAAAGGGGATCAGGTGCACGTCCGGCCAAGGAGGAAGTGCCAGGATAGGCAGATGAAGCACGGGTTTGCGAGGCAAGGGGGGGATAAGGACCAGACGCCCGATAGGGCTGATGAGCGTGATGACCATGACGACACTGACTACGACGCTGCGCACGGTGAGGACATTCCAACAGCGGGGGGCAGAGAAGGGGGGGACCCGCGTCACCATTCGAATGTAGCGCCGACGCGAAGGATAAAACGGAAGGACCTCACAGAACAGGATTTAGCTATCCCGTGCGAGAAGTCAAGTTTGGAGCTGCAGGCGGGAGGGAAAAAGACACGGGGGGGTATCCATAAGAGGGAGCATAAAACCATGCGGCTGCACATGGGCGATGTCGGGAAAAGGAACAAAGTGGGACACATCCATGTGGAGAAGCGGAAGGAAGTGATGAACTCCGTGGCACCCCCCGTAGAGACAGGAAGCCCAGACGCGGCCAAGGAAGGAGATGCAATCAGGGAAGGAGGTGCAACGAAAGAAGCAGACGAGACCAAAGAAGGAGATTCAACCAAAGAAGCAGACGCCACCAAAGAAAGAGACCCGAGCCAACCCAACGGAGAGACCAACATGAAGAGGAAAATCAAAAGGCGCATCGGCTACAGCATGACGAACACCATACTGCACCTGAGAAAATTCAAACACTTGAATATAAAAAAAAAAAAGAAAAAAAAAAACATACAAACAAGAGAAAAAGCAAAAGAAAAGGAAAAAATAAACGAAAAAGAAAGAACCCAAACCCATAATAAAGACAAAACCAAAACAAATATGAAGAAAAGGAACTCGGGAGGAAGAAAGACGTTCCTACCCAGGGCACTCTCGGGAACTTTACCAAAATTAAAAATAAAAAAAAAAAAAAAAAAAATCTTCTTTTCCGACACGATAACGAATGTGTACAAAACCAAATGCATGAACATAATTCTACAGAACTTATGTCCACACATGCCCAACTTTGGCATCCTATATGACACCGACTTGCACATATCGATTGATGCGGAGAGGGGACTCTACATCACTGGCTACATTAACAAAAAAAATTGCAACTTCATACATGATAAGACGAAAAAAGACGAATTCGAAGACAACACCGAGGTTAGGATTAAAATTATAAAGAGGAAGAACACACTTAACTATAAGGAAGGCACAAACAGAAGGGTCTACTCCTGGACGGACAACATCAAGGAGCTCAGTTTAGACGGATGGGTAAAATGTGAACTAGCCGGGTGCCTAGAGGCCGTAATTTTTATCCATGGCTACAACACCAGTCACCTGGAGGCGCTGCAGATCCTGGGACAGATGGCCTCCTTTGGCAATTTCCCCAATTACATCAAGCTCTTCCTGTTCAATTGGCCCTCGGGGAAGAACTTCCTCGAGTTCTTCGTCGCTAAAGACAACTCCAAGAACAAGAAGGTGCACCACGCGTTCAAGTGCTTCCTGGACACGCTGCGGAGTAACGGTAAGGGGAGGTGTGGAAGTGCTGAGAAGAGGAGGAGAAGAGAAGAATGGACTCATACCTTCGTAGCATTACTGCCACTAGCACCCCCCTTGTTACCACCTCACTCCATCTCTCCTGCTACTTCCACCCCCGTTGTTACCACCTCACCCCATCTGTCTTGCTACTTCCACCCCCCCGTTGTTACCTCATCGCCACTTCTTTTTTGTCATTTCCTCCCCCCTGCGCAGGAATCCGCCACGTCCACATCATCACGCACAGCATGGGGACGAGGATGTTCCTGCTGGCCTTCCATGACATCGTGAAGAGCGACCTCTTCTCGACAGTCGACGAGAAGGAAACAGAGCAAAGCAACCTGACCAAGATGAAGCTCATCACCCTGACGATGATGAACCCAGAGTATTATCTAAGCGATTTTGTAAACAAGGAATACGTGTTCCTTCGCTCCTTCTGCACAGTCATCTCTATTTATTGCGATTCTAACGACAAGGCATTGAAGTGGGCAGAAATATTCAGTGGAACCAAGTCCCTTGGAAAAAATGTCTTCGATTTAAACATATGGAAAGGCAAATACTATAAGAGATCGAATGAGATGGGAAACTACGTCTTTGATAGAAGCCAATTGGATTCCTTTTCCATCCCAATTGCGAATAAAACGAACGACAGTGATGACAGCTTTCAGGAACCAAAATTAGTTTCCTCCTTCTTTGACTGTGAAAACTTCGACGTGTTAAATGAGAAGATGAGAAACAAAGAAATGATGACGACCCTTGTACAGAAACTGAAGAAGCTTTTTTATTTTTTTTCTAAAAAGAGGAACAGTGCCGACTCGAATGACTTGAATGAGCAGACATCCATAGAGCATGATCAGGGGAAGTCAAATAAGGACATGGCTCACCACAACTTTGTTCACCAGCCACCTATGTTTAGGAATACACTCCTCGTTTTTACGGGAATAGAACCCACTTACAGTTACAGAGATAATCGGTATTGGCTAGATGTGGATGTCATAGATACCACTTGGTTAGGGTCAAATGTACACACCTTGAGACATTCCTACTGGTCGCTGAACAGAGAAATTATTGAAGACATTCGTGAACTGATTGTCACTAGGAAAAGGGCTCGGCAAAGAACTTCTAGACTGGACCGTCGAGAGGGCAACGTCTGGGTTTACAGAGTCGCCCCTTCTCACCTCAAGTCGATATTCGATTCGGAAATATGAGGCGGCCCCGCCATGTGGATAAGCGAAGATAGACAAACGGAGATGAAGAAGGGGACGTGCCCATTATCGCTCCCTTCACCAGGACTCCAACCCGACGATCTGTTGCCGCTCTCCTGCCGCTCCCTGGCCCCTCCCCCGCGGAAGGACCCCCTCGAATGAGCATCCTCTTTTATCCCCCTCCAGGGGCGTAAAATTCCCCTGCGATTTGTTCGGCGGATACCATAAAGGGAGAGTTCAGTGTAGCAGTTTTGGTCAAGTATGGATAAAGTTGTAGACCTGCAGATAGGCATATAAGCAGATAGGCAGATCTGCACAATTGCGCATCTGTTTCTCTGGAAAGGCCTCTCCCCGCGTGACTATTTCCGCACAGGGCAGGGTGACTTCTCACACTTTTTCTTTCAAAGTTGGTTCGTCATGCATGCCTACATGTGTCCATATACACATATGCATGTATTCTTTTCCTCACGACACAAAAAAGAAAAGGAAAGAAAAAAAAAAAAAATCACATGCCTGGACACACGTGTAGGTTCATCAGTGCACCGATTTTGACAGATGAACGTAACGGGGTCTACCTCGCCGCTGACGCGATTTTTTTAGCGGAATCGATACAACACTAAGTTCTGTTTTCAGTTCGTGGGGACGCAGGGGGTTCCCTTTTGGGCTTTCGCTTCGTTGCTTCACCTCTTCGTCGCTTCGTCACTTCGTCGCTTCGTCACTTCGTCGCTTCATCTCTTGGTCGCTTCGTCACTTCGTCGCTTCATCTCTTGGTCGCTTCGTCACTTCGTCGATTCACCTCCCTAGGACGTCTTCCTGCGGAGAATCTCCCGCTGCACCTCCTGGATGGCGCTGTTCCTATTCTGCAAGTGCTTCGAAATGTCCGGCTCCTTCATCTCGGGTTTCATCACCAGATGGACGCAGCAAGACCCCATAGCCATGCACAAGAAGGACGTGGACACAATAAACAGGTACTTCCTCAAAGGGACCCCGAGCGGCATTTTCTTCTTCTTTCCTCGGTTAAAAGGGAACAAGGGGCACCTAAAAGATGGGCAGATAAACCTTTGGAACTGTCATTTGGGGTTTGGAAGCAGGGGAAACAGCTAGGAAAACAAAGCCACTTCTTCAGCGGCACGTAGGGGGGACTACTAGTGTATATACCTGCATTGAGATGCACGTACAGATGGGAAGAACGCGTGGGCCTTTTTCACCGTGGGGGAGCAATACGCAGGGTGGAAAATAAGTGACTCGCGCGGGGGGTACAATAAAAATGCATATACATACATATATATATGTATGTATATATATTTATTTCTTTTTTTTGTTATCCTAGTGGGAGGCACCAATCCCCGTCACCTGTCGACACACGCGCATACTGATGCCTGTGGCAGTATACCGCTTGGGGGCTTCTACATTCCTCTCCTCAGCTAAGTCAAGCGCAGCATCGAAGGGGATCGTGTCCATGGGAACACTTCGCGAGAGGTGCACCCTCATACATCCGGTAGAATCTGTCAAATCGAGTGACCCGGTGATGGCTGATCCGTACAGTTTAGCTACCCCTAGGGGGGAAGAACCTTCACGTTTGGGCAAGGACACAAAATGAATTTCACTTTGAGAGTGGGAAGCGGAATGCCTGATATGATTATTCAGGATGGGGTTCTTCCACAATGGGCACATAAAGCGTTCTGCCTGGTGCGGCAAGTGGGAAGTGAAAAAAGGAAATGCATGTGTAGGGAAAGGAAAGCGTGAAAAAAGCGGTTAGTCGAGGCTCTTCTCGTGGTGGCTCCTTTCCTTCCGTGGAGGGTTCGCATTGTGGCGTCTTCTTTCGTGGGTGCCCCACCCCTATGAGTTTCACGCCAACTCGGCACTTAAACGGACTTGCCCAAGAAGTATGAGCTTTACAGTTCGCGAGGAACAAAGCGCTGGAATTTTCACACAAATAAGTTTGTAGCTGCCGCATGGTGGGGTCTACCTTTCTTATGAGAGTTACGAAGCGAAGAGAGTGGAGATGGAAGGTTGCTTTTTTCATTTGTTCTTTTCATAGCGATGCCTTGCACATATGCTTTGTTGCTACGTGGCCATGGAGCCATTGGTAATACTTGAATGGTTTTTATTTAAGCCCCCTTTTTTCGTCTGCATGAGGCTCACATTAGGTAGACTAAATTTAAGGTGAAAAAAGAGAAACAAGGGTGGAAGTGCAATTCTGTCTGGGGGTGACATATCACTCCGTCTTGTCCCCCACGATGATTGTCATATCGATCTTGTTAGGGGACTCCAGAGCAACGCGCTTGTCCAAGCTACTTTCCCCAAACAGCCATGTTGACCTTCCCAGATTTTCCATCAGCCTTTTCAATCGTTTCGCCGTATCCCCCCCTCGTTACTTTGCAGTCCAGGTGTCCACTCCTCCTTGGCTGTGTGGTACATCACATTGCGCAGCTGCGACATTGTTTGCTTTTTTACGTTTCTTCGCATGGGGAAGTTTTACTCGTTCGGAGTCCTCCTCGGGGATGTGAGATCATTTCGCAGGTAATGTCAGCCATAAGTGGGGGCACGCGGGAGTAACCCCGTGGGGTACATCAAAATAGGTTAACAGGAAAAAAAAAAAAAAAAAAAAAAAAAGAACGTTCTGACCGAGTTGACAATTTTTTTGAACATGAGTGATGCGTTTTTTCGTACTAAAAGGTTAGCATTGCTGCTTTGCGATTTGTTTGGGGGACATTCTTTCTTTCTCATTCCTTTCGTTTTTACGTCCTTTTTACTTCCTTTTTACTTCCCTTTTGAGGCGCCAAAAGAAGGCTCATACCAAAGCGCAAATGCGGGACCAAAGGTACGCCCGCATTGGGATTGCTTCCTCATCGCATAAGTGTCTCTGACATCGGAATTTGTTTGTAGCACAACCCTGTGTTTTTCTATCGCGACTGCGTGAGGTAGTTATTTCGATTTGGCTTACCCCCCTCTGTGTTTCCTTCTGTAGGAAATAAGGCAGTGATGGTGGTGGAGGGAACCACGGCCCGTGCTGCGTCTCTTTCCTAGTGTATAGGAGCAGTAGTTTGTTGAGCAAACCTGTTACTCCGCTCGATGACCTGCTTGTCAACAGGGGTTACCTATTAGTTGCATTGTGTCGTTGGCCCGATAAGCGCGACGCCTCCATCACCGAGAGCGTTGCTTGCGAGATCGCTGCTAGGGAGACCGCTCCTACTCAGACCACTCCTAACGCTACCTCCGGAGCGAATGGCACAGGCCGCGGAACGCGACAGCCTGCGAGGCGGGGCGGCTGAGAGGTCAAGCCCGACGAGCCCAAGTGGCTCCGCCAGCAGCGTGCGCTTGGACGGAAAGCCCAAAGTAGATTCTTTCCATAACCGAGATGGACTCAAACTGAAGACCTACTCATGGCTAGTAAAAAATCCAATAGGAGTCATATTCCTAGTCCATGGACTAAACACGCACTTACGGTTAGAATACCTTCGACACAACGTGGAGATAGTGAGCCCAGAAAAGGCTATTCTAAAGGATGCAGATAATTACTACATTTATAAGGACAGCTGGATTGAGCATTTCAATAAAAGTGGATACTCAGTGTATGGCATGGACCTGCAGGGACATGGACAATCAGACGGGTGGAGGAATGTAAAAACCAACGTGAAAAAGTTTGATGATTTGGTGTATGACGTGATACAGTACATTAATCGAGTGCACGACGTTATCTGTCTGACAAGTCGGAAGGATGCAAAGAATGGGGAAACGAGTAAGAGCCATTCGGCGGCTTCCCCCAGGTTGGCAGCGTCAACCACGTCGGCCACCTCCCCTTCGTCCCGCATGCCTGCTGCTTCCCCCGCGCCCCTCGCGCAGAGCAACATCTCCTCGTGGTCCATTCACAACAATCTGAAAGACACCAAAACGCCGCCCTTCTACATCATGGGCCTCTCCATGGGGGGAAACATAGTACTAAGGACACTGGAAATCTTGGGGAAATCCAAAAACCAGGGCGAAAAGCTAAACATAAGAGGATGTATATGTCTAGCCGGGATGATCTCCATCGACGAAATAGCATCCAAACCATCTTACAAATTTTTTTACATTCCTTGTAGCAAATTTTTTGCCACCTTCTTTCCAACCCTGCGACTGACGCCATCCTTGTACTGGAAAAAGTACCCCTATGTTAATCACATTTTTAATTACGACAAAAATCGAAATAAGAAACCGATCACGTGCAAGTTGGGCTATGAGCTTCTGAACGCCATTGAAAACTTAAATAATGACATGGATTATATTCCAAAGGACATCCCCATTCTTTTCGTGCACTCCAGACATGACAGTGCTTGTTTCTTTGGGGGCGCGGAAACATTTTTTAAAAAAATTAATACCAACCTTAAGGAGCTACACATCCTGGACGATATGGACCACGTCCTCACCATGGAGCCGGGCAACGAGCGTGTTCTGCAGAAGCTGCTTGCGTGGCTATCCGCCCATTCTCCGCCGAGTGCGACCCGCGCCTAGCCGCGCCAGTTAAGATTCATCCCAGTTAATTCATCCCAATTGTACTACGCCCCATTGCGCTCGCATAAAGTTGCAGCGTTAGGCCGCCTTTTTCACAGCGCCAAGTTGGTTCCCCTTTTTGCCAGTTGTTCCGAAGTTGCTCCACGTGCCGTCGCAACGCGCGGCAAGTGTTATTTCCCCATGGGGGAATACAATCAAATATACATAAGATGTTCGTGTGTTTTTTTTTTTTTTTTTATTTTTTGCTTAGGGTTATGTAAACCTGGGCCACTCTTCATACGGCTCCTGCATTTTCAGCTTTTCCACAATACGACGTTCTGCGCCTTTATATATTCACAACAACGCTTTTATTGTTTTCGAATTTTTTTTTTTTTTTCTGTATCATCTTCGCATTGTTGCTTGTGTTGTTTTTGAATTATCTTTGCATTATATTTTTCGCGCCATTCGAAATCGAAGCTGCTCCAAACCGGGTCACTTAACCCTTTTCGACGTGACGTCTTTTTGTTGTTATAACATACTTTTCGACGCTACCAAGAGGGATGAAAAATTTAAACTATGAATATTATTATGTGCACATTCTTCTCCCCACCCCCTTAGCAGGCGGGAAGTTTTCCGATCCTGCGGAGAGCTGCCTCCCGGGACTGCCCTTAATGGTCTTTTTCGTTTTTCTTCCCCATGGGAGGTACGTGTATGCAGGGCGAGCGGCAGCTACGGGAAGAGGGCAGGAAGTAAAAAGGGACCGACCTGTGTGGTGCCAGTAAATACTTTTTTATATATATGTATATATAAGCATATACAATATACATGTCTGCATTCTGCGTACCATCAGTTGAGGCGATGTTACGCTCTGGAGCTTCTCAACTGATCCCACAAAATCAGAGGCACGTGAAACGAAGCAAGCCACATAGCGAGGAGGCCCCAGGCCACCCGAAAAGGAATTATTTTATTATTTCGCATACTACTTCCGCATCACCCGCAAAGAAAAAAAAAAAAAAAAAGAAAAAACGGTATTCTGCCCATCGCCATATTGTTAAGATTTTTCCAACTCGCGGACAGTCATTTAAAAATGAAATAAAATAGCAGCAGTCCACGCGAACCTTGTTATGATGGCGTTGTTTTGCATCCCTCGTAAGGCAAGGTTTATCTTTTTCTTCCTTTAAATATGTCCCGTCCCCCCGTCGCTGCTTTCGTTTTTTTTCTATTTCTTTTTTTATTTTTTCTTTTTGTTTTTTTTTTTTCCTCTCTTTTCTTTCCAAATAGGTTAACTGCTTATAACTGAACATTTGGTTAATTATATTCCCCTGGGGATTTTCTTAACCTTTATTTTTTTATTTTCTCACGTTGAAGTTCCTTTATCTTTCCATTTTTACTTTTCTATATTTTTGTCCTTGCCCTCTTTGTTGGTTCGCTCCCTCCCCATTTTTTTTTATTTTTTTTCTGGATCCTCATTTTCTATTCGTCCCTGTTTTTTATCCCCCCATTTTGGCATCTGATTTATTTTTTAGACTTTTGTTCCCCCGTCGCTTGTCTTTCCATTTCGTCTTTTGCGCCAGCTGTGCTTCCCCCTTGCATCTGAAGATACTCGTCGAATAATCCACTTTGCAGATAACTCCCTACCGCTGACGGAGAGACGAACCATAATGGAGGCCACAAACAGACCAGGCGGTAGGGGGCCTCAGAACAGGCCCGGGAACAGGCCAGTCAGCAGGGGCGGGTATATGGCGGCCAATCGTGGTGGGAATAATGCGGCCTACCGTGGCGCCAACCAGTCGGCGAATCGGGCCGCAAACGGGGTCGGAAGGGTGACCCATAGTGAGACCGCACGGGTCACCCAGAGTGAGACCACAAAGGTGACCGCAAAAGAGAGCGAGAAGAAACCCATGGATAATGCCGCCAACCAGGGGAGGAATAACACGGCAAACGGGATTGAGAAGAGGGCCTCAACCGAACCAGAGAAAAAAATCCCACATGAGACTGAAAAGGCTACAAGTCAGCTCGCGAACCAGGCCATAAATGGAGGCGTGAAGGAGACGCCTAATAAGTTAGCCGATAAGGTGGCAAGGGGACCCCCTAATAGGGATGCTAGCAAGGCTGCGGATGGTTATAATAAATATAGTAATAATAGTAATAATAGTAATAGTAGTAATAGTAGTAATTGTAATAATAGTGGAAGCCAGGACGGCATCCTGAAGACGGGATCCTTCGTCAGTCGAGACGGACTGGAGCTGAAGACCTACGAGTGGGTGGTGGATAAGCCAGTCGGAATCATAATACTAGTGCATGCCCTAAACTCCCATGTGAGATTCGAATACCTAAAGCTCAATGCCATCATAGAGAGCAAGGAAAAGGCCACTCTTGTCGATGCGAACAATTATTACATCTATAAGGATAGCTGGATTGAGCAATTCAACAAAAGTGGATACTCAGTCTATGGCCTAGACATGAGGGGACATGGACAATCAGGGTGCGTCAAAAATGTGAAGACTCACGTAAATGCCTTTCAAGATTTAGTGTACGACGTGCTGGAATATGCCAATATTGTATACGACTCATTATCCACAGAGGGGAAAAAGAAGAAGAAAGAAAACATAACATCACATGGTGGGGGTGTTAAAACTTCTAGTGATACCGCATCCTCCGTTGCGTCAACCTCCGATTATGATGGTAACATCCCACAGGGAAGTCATGTCTCTCCAGGAAAGAATCCATACAGTGGGAAACAACAACCCCCCCCCAGTGGTGTGAACAATATCAGCAAGAATGACGTTCCTCCCTTCTACTTCATGGGTCTATCCATGGGAGGAAATATCGTTCTCAGAATATTACAATTGAGGGAAAAAAAAGGAGATGAATCGATTAAGCGATTGAACATTAAGGGAGTGATTACTTTAGCGGGCATGATTTCTCTGGATGACCTGAAGAAAAAGCCAGAATATAAATACTTCTACGTTCCTATGGCGAAGCTTGCATCCGCGCTTCTCCCCACCAAGAGACTGGCCCCTCTGCTGAAGCTTGAGATGTTCCCTTACATTAATGACCTCTTTAGGTTTGACCCCCACTGTTACAACAAGCCGATAACCAACCGATTGGGAAATGAACTTTTAAAGGCAGTCGATAGCTTACACAATGATATCAGGTTCATTCCGGAAGACGTCCAAATTCTGATTATCCACTCTGTACGGGACAGCGCTTGCTCCTACACTGGAGTGTCCAAATTTTTTAACACCATTCAGACGAAGAACAAGGAGTTGTTTACTCTTCATGACATGGACCATATTCTTCCTCAGGAGCCGGGGAATGAGAGAATTCTGAAGAAGGTTATCGACTGGCTGGCTCATCTGCAGTGCGCTAAGGGGTAAACGTTATGTGCGGTTTTAGGAGGGATCACCCGATTTGAGTTTTCCTGCGAGGGTTGGGGTGCAACCCCAATTGGGATCACAGTACTAATGTATTTTACTACCCTGAGTATCCTCCCCAAGGGAGAAAAATTGTCTACCCGCTTCGTACATGCGCCTTGGAGAGGAATACACCCTGATTGGACATTTCAAGACAAATTCAAATAGGCTGCATGGCAGAGTGTGGGGAGGTCGAATGAGTGTAAAAACCAGTCAACCCACCTGTTAGCCTCTTCAATGCAGTATGGGCTTTCCATCTGTGGAGGGCGCCATTTAGCGGGTGCAAAGGGAGAGCGTTAGGTATTGTTAGCCACCAGCAGCGGGCAGTGCCACGCGTTTTACGTGTTACGTTGTCTATGCTATGATCCCCTTTTTCCTTTTTTTTTTCTTTTTTTTGTACCTATGATTGCATATTCCCGCTGATTTACTAATTTAAAAAGAAGGAATCCCTCTTTTTCTCAATTATTGTTTTTTATTTTTTACCATTCATACATTGGCAGTTGTGCGCCGACGTTGCAGAGAGGGTGAAGGGGGGGGAGGCTACTTCGTATAGGGGGGCTCTCCGGAAGTACGCACGAGAGCTCTCCACCCACCCGTAATGTCGCGCTGTGCTGTATGGACCGTGAGGATATTCACACCACCATCCCTTTTTTTTTCATATAAACTGTTTTAATCAAATGGATTAAAAAACCGCCCTTTTGGGTAGTCTCTACAAAATAGGGGCACTTGTCCCATGGGCTTGAGAGCTGCAACGGAGGAGCGTGCTTTCATTGCCTCATCGCACGTCTTTTCACCCCTTCGTGGCTACAGACAGAGGCTGGCCACACAGGGGAGCAATTGTTTTTCCCCTCGCTCCCAAACTGGCTTTTTTATCCGTTGGGGCAAAAAGTAACAAAAATAAAATCACTCGCGTCGTCAAAAAGTAAGCTGGCACGGGATCCCTAAACATGGGGTGTCTCTCGAAAAAAGGGGTTCTTCCCGCGGCGCAGTCACATGCATATGTGTATGCATTCGAAACTTTGGCATATTATAGCCTAGCCCACTTGTGCACGAAGCAGAATTAAGGAGCCAGGGGAGAAGAAAAGCGCTAAAAGGTCAAAGTTCGAGGTCAGCTCTGCACAGGCGAAGCATATGGGCAGAACATTTTCCCACTTGTTTTTTTTGTGTAGCGCTTTTCGTGAACAGTTTATTTTTTATTTTTTTTTTTTCCACCCACAAACGATGTTGTTAATGTAAATTATTTTTTCTCCCACTTTGCGGTTCATTCTTATGGAGTAACACGACGTGGGTGCTTTTGCAAAATTGGTTTCTTTTTTTTTGCAAAATTGGTTTCTTTTTTTTTGCATAATTAAGTTGTTTTTTTTTGCATAATGAACTTGTTTTTTTTTTCAGACTTTGGTCCTTTTTTTTGCAGACTTTGGTTCTTTTTTTTTTTGAAGACTTTGTTACTTTTCTTTTTACTTGCCTATTTTCACCCCTCTCGCTCCACTCCTTCCGCTGGGCCAATTCGCCAGGAAGGTTCCCCAAGTTGGCCGCTTCCACTCTGAAGAGGGCAAATATGCACAGCTTTTAAGCGCGTACAGGATGGTGACGGGACACTCGACTGACCCGAGCGGGGCGGCTGGCGCGGAGGAGGATCGTCTGCAGGCCGGACGCAGCGGCGACAGTACCCGCAACAACACCGGCAACAACATCAACAACAACACCAGCAACAACACCGGCAACAACATCAACAACAACACCAGCAACAACACCAGCAACAACACCGGCAACAACACCAGCAACAACACCCGCAACAACACCAGCAACAACACCCGCAACAACACCGGCAACAACACCGGCAACAACACCGCGAATAACCCCCATAGGAACCGTCACGGCGATGGCGGCGCGGAGAGGGCACCCCCGAGCGGCATCCTGAAGAAGCAGAGCAAAGGCCAAGCTAAGACAGTCCAGCTGGCCACCAGTCCAGGGGCAACCCCCCACCATATGGAAGGAAAAAAAATGGCCCCAGCAGCTGCATACGAAAGGGAAGAAGAAGACATTTACAAAACCGTGTACGAAGTGACCCAGAATGCGGAGCCCAACTTTTTTAACTGCGACACTGTTCCTTGGGTATCTTCCTTTTTTTCTCTCAAGGAGGAAGATTTCACCATTTTTGGAAACACGCTGAAGAAGAGAAATATTTTTAAGCGATGCTTCCAACGTATTCACAAGAACAGGAGGAGGAGGTGCATGTCCTTTAACCCCTATAGAGTACCACTAGCATGTAAGAAAGTAACCCTTGAAGAAATGCTAATCTCAGAGCCAAAAATAAA